GAGATGTGAATGTGATGAACTAATAACATTAGTTCATCACATTCATCACAACCGCCTGCTTGTGGGATTAAACAACAACAAAAAGATTGATTACTGGGGAAATATTAATGTTGCACAGCACTGTTGTAGCTGGATTAAAAAAATAGTTAACCACTGAGAAGAGTGCTAACGTGAGTTAATTCATTAAGTTTAGTAAATGACACGATGGAGACCTCTGACACTTTAATGCATCACGCTTTGCTTCAACCCAGCAGCTTTATGCTTCACACCTCTTGGTTCAGCTCGGCCCGCTTCGTTTCTGAAAGCTCACATCGGACGTTGCCGTGTGGCCATTTCACAGAACTGTTTTATGAAAGAGCCTTATGTTTTTTAATATGCAGCAGATATTCTCCTTATTTTTCCCCCCCCCAGAAGTAACCACTATTCAGCACTGCCAGTGAAACGTTTATGGCAATATTTGGTCAAGCAGGAAGAAGTTCAAGAGACTTTCATCAGAAACATTTTCATCAAGAAACCAGGCACAAATCAGGTACTTCACTGTCTCCATCTGCCAACCTGCTGCATCAGACTTATTATAACAACGCTCACTCAATAACACATTTAACTCTGTTGCTCTGATAGAATAGTCTGTCTGTTTGTACCCCAAAGCAAACTGTCATTATTGCTTTGTAAATCCCAAAATGTGTGCTCTTTTGTTATGCATGCTCACCTTGTTTAAATTATGATCTCTAGTTGCATGTAGACAGTTTAATTTCTGTTCAAGTAATTACACATTATTAACATCATTGTAAACCAATCTCTGTGTGTATTTGCATGGATTATCTCTGGTCCTTGTGTGTTTTGCGCGTGTGGATCTACCCTTTGCCGTTTCCCCTCCCCCAATATCACTAAAGTCGGTTGAGGACCAGACTGACAATATGAAATATTCAGGGACGGAAGAGACGGGAAACAATCAGGTACTGCTGCTTTACGTTAATTATTGCTTGTATGGTGTTTGAGTGGGATGGGTTTAGTGTCAAACCTCAGTATCTTATTATACTTGACCAAAGGAAAACTAATTAACGAACAAGTTTTAAAATATTTCAGTGCCTTTGACTGAAGCAATGCTTTTTTTAAGTAATGTGCTTTTTGCTTCAAGGTATATTAACATCTTCTCTGCAGCTGTAGCTGGTGCAGCTTGCTTGCATCACAGATTTTGGTGGACTTTACGGTCTTTTATGGACCCTCTGAAAATGGCGCACAAGCTTTGCAGTTTGCAGAACAAAATGTTTTTTGTGAGATTTTTTTTTAATAGATCAGTCGGTTGTATTCAACTGTTAATGCACATACTGTATATACTTGGCACCGTTATGTAACATTAGGACAAACGGTACCTTTTCTTCTACGAGAGAATCTGCACACCGTGTTACATGTAATTGTCATCTCCATTTAAGTGGCAAATTGACCTATTAAATCCAGTAATAAATGTAAAATTTCAATCTTAACAGGCTTGCAGAACGTTATGTTCAAGGCTGTGAACTCTGTATGTTCCCGTCACAGTTTAATATTAATCTTACATCCAACAGTCTAAATATTCGTGTGAATGTGAGCCATAAATCTTATGACTTTGCACACTGATGCTGTATAGAAGTTTTCTAATCTTCTGGCTCTCTCTGTGAGAGCTGCCACATTATAGGTACTCCATTTAGCTCAGTGGTAATTAACCCAGTCTCTTAAAGGATGGGCTATGAAGCTGATCTGCTTCACATTAATGGGTCCAACACTGTTGCACTGAATCTGCAACCTACAGGGATTATGCGCTAGTTCAAATGGAAAAACAACATATTTAGATATTTGCAAGTTGTTTTATTTTACTTCTGTCTTTCTGATAAAAAAGACAGGGCCTTTTCCTCTGACTGAATGGACTGAAGACATTCAATCCAATCAAACTCTTAACTTTTCTTTCTGGTATACAGAGCTACAGTAAGAGCCTGTGGGGCTGTGCACATCCCTCAGGATCGCTGTGATTCAGTGGGTCTATGTGCTAACATTTTTCTCGTTGCTCTGGGGGTTTTGTGCGTATCTGTTAGTACTAAGTTATTTATGTTGGTCTCTGTGGTTAACAGTGAGGCCTGGTGCAACTTAACCACCTCCTCTGCAGAAACATAAGCTACACAGTTTATAGCATTAGCTTGACAAAGATCTTTATGAAGATGATTTGACAATTTCTTCAACTCTTATGTCTTCTGTAGTTGTGAATCAGGAATTATTTGACAGTAATATGTCTGTGTTTCTGTTATAATTATTAAATCTCTGTGTATTGTGTGTGCGTGTTCTTCGCCACAGACTGAGTCAGATCTGGGCTGCCCCGGAGGCAAAGCACGCATCATCCACAAGGAATCTGACATCATCACAGCCTTTGCCATCAACAAGGTAAAACTTTAAACACAAACGTCACTGAAAACACAAAATACTTCATGGCAGGGGCTGTTTGCTTTTCTCCATTTAAACTTGTACTGTATCAAATCAGAGTACATTTGCTCAGTCAGGTCTCTCGGGTCAGGTCTTTCTTGAAAACGAGTCCTCGTGACTCAGTGAGATTAACCTGTATAAATAAAAGCCGAATGAAGAAAGCAATGTCATGATTTACAAAAACATTGGAAGCTAATGCAGTTTTCTCAACACCCTTTGAGTTCTTGAGGACAAAGTGTACCAAGTGTTCAAAAATAATTATCCAAGTTCCTCTGTTTGACCCTAAACCGTTTTTACTAAAGTCCCCCACTGATTTTTATTATATCATGTTGCATTTTTGTTAAAAGTTTGTGTTGCAGTGACAAACCCACAAAGGATGTAGATGCAGTTCTAACATTAGTTGATTAAAAAACAACTAAATGGAGATGGGACTTTAAAAAAGGCTAAAAACACACACACAAAAGTGTGTTACTGTGTAAAGTTGATTCATAAGTGTGTTGATGTTAGTTATTTAGGGCTGTGGTTCCCAATCCTGATCCTTGAGGAACATCATCCTGCATGTTTTACTTTCCCTGCTCCAACACACCTGATTCAGTTATGCAGAAGCCTGTTAATTAAATTACCCATTAATTAATTACCCATTAATTAAAATCAGGTGTGTGTCAGAGCAGAGAAACAACTAAAACATGCAGGATGGTGTTCCTCAGGGACCAGGGTTGGGAACCCCTGGTTTAAGGTCTATTTTTCCTTGCCAAAAATATATATTTTTGTTTAAGTTTAAATTGTTTTAACTAGTTTGGAGTCAAACTGAACTTAAAAAAATCCCTTCAAGCTTTTGAGCATTAAAATTACAAGACAAAAATGTGTCCGTTTTTATAATAATAATTAAAAATAATAATACTGCTACTACTACTACTAATAATAATAATAATACATATAATAATACATATAATAATAATAATAAGGTGAATAAATTGCAATAATTGCATGACAACAGCTTTTCTTGAATCTTGAAAATAACAAATATTTTGGTTGTCCTGTTGCTGTTGTGAAAATCAGAAAAGGTTCTGAGCGTGGCTGCTTCTCTTGAATTATTTTTTCAGCTGCTAATGTTCACTACCATTAACTAATTACCAGTAACTCTCAGACTGCCATTAAAAGTAAACAATTGTGAAGTTTTATTATCAGGGACAAAATGTAGCCAAGAAAAAAAAACAAGTTTTAATTTTGCTTTCACTTTTCACTGGTGGGTGACAAAGTTTAAACACAAAATTTGCATTAGGTACCAAACAGAACTATGCTTAAAGCTAAAGTCCACTACAGTTGGTTAAGTTGAGTTCTGCACCCACTGCATTTGAAAGAGGCAGATGTTCAAGACAAGAATACACATCTGGGTTTAAATTAAAGCACCAGTTAAAAAAAAGGTATTATTCCATTGTTCTGACTGGTTTGTATGAGTACCAGTCAGAGCACTGACGTGCAGGAGGGCGGTGTCAGTCGACTCGATTAGTAGAAATTAAATGTATTTATTCACCACCTATTTATCTCCCGTCTGTCCTCTGTCTCTTTTGTCATTCTCTTTGTTTCCCAGGCAAACCGCAACTGTTTAGTCATGGCCTCCACCCATGACATTCAGGAGCTGGATGTGTCATCCATCTTGGCCACACAGATCATGACATGGATCGATGAGGAGGAGACTGAAACCAAGAAGTAAGAGTGTAAAGTAAAAAGTAACATGTGTGTTGGGAGCATTTGCATATTCATACTGAACTTCTCTCATAACAATATCTGCTCATCGTTTTTCTTTAATTGTTAATTGAGCTCAGCTGAGTGTACACACAGAACGACGTGAGTTGGTTTATTAATGGAGGTGCAGAAGGGTTATATGATTTTACACTGTTTATGTGAATGCAGCACGTTGTATGTATTTTAATACTTTCCTTGCTTATAATAATTATATCAAAGCACCGTCTTTTATTTTTACATTGTTAGATTCATTTAGACTGTGAATAATCTTTAAATTGTATGTATTTTAAAGGACTCGTTCATATGAAGGTTAGCGGTTTCACTTTTTGTAATCCAAGACTTTGAGTGAGGAGACATCCTGTATTTAGTTGCTTTCCACATAATGTTTTGCCTTTTTATTTTTAAACTGTTGCTGGATTTAAATTTGCTGTAAAATTAACTTACAGCCAATTAGTCACTTGGTAAATTGATTATCTGTGTCTGATTGTTTTGTGCGCTTTAGTCTTGGTGGGGATGACTTCCTGGTGGTCCATGCTCGTGACGATTTTGCTTCACTGCACGGCACCACACCGTACACCCACAGTAGTCCCGGCACACCCATCAGTGTGCCCTGGCTTGGGGGGCAGCAAACGGGCAGGGGTGCATCAGTGGTAAGCTCCAAATCCTCATTTTTATATGGTAGCAAATGTTGACGGGCTTGTTTAATGAATTCACACTTGAGATTTCTGTTGTTGTTACAAACAAAAAGCAAACTGAGAGCAGGATTACAGACACTCTGGTTTTGAGTCTTTATAAAGGAACCGTTGTCCAATATAAAACTCAAACTAGATTAAAATGCGAAGTTTTACCTATAACTCTTAAATTAATGTGTTAATACTTGACAAAATATACTGACACTGACCAAGATGAATTTTATTTTCCCAAATTATTAAGTCTGATATTAGTAGATTTGTTAAGAGTTAGTTTTAAAAGGAGGCTTGTTTCTTTTAATAAACAGTCATTTCATTTTGTTTCAGTTTGATTGTGACACTGATGTGCAGGCTGTATGTCACTTTTGGGAACAAATGATAAAATAACACTGAAAATCTGTAAAAAGCTGAATATTTACTGAAACACTTTCAACTCCCTGCTGTGTTTGTTCAAAAACAAACATGATGGCTGTGTTCTCTTGCATACAGTGAAGAAGCAAAGACTTTACATGGATAATGCTCTCTCTGCTGCTCTTCTGGAAATAATTGATGTTGTCTTTTTGCTCTGCTTCGGCCCTTCTTTGTACTCGAAGCGAAACCCTCAAAGCAGTTCAAATAAGTTACATTAATAATTCATCTTTGCCCAGTTTGCCAACAGCATTGTGGCTGCTAACATTAGTTTCCCTCATTGATTCACAAAGGAACTAAGTTGCCTGTTTGTGAGAAACTGGGTTCAAATCTGCAGCTTTTTATTTTTATTTTTTTTAATGTAAAACTCTGTGAAAGATGTTGAAACTGAGCAGAGAAACTTGTTGTTTGTAGCCAGGTGGGAGATTGATTAAATTCAGATTTACCTAAAAGTTTGCTGAAGCTTGGAGGAGAAAACATTTTGAGAATAGTTTACAAAACTTCGAGCTGACAGTCTGGTTGATATGAGCTTTTCAGGGCCAACAGTTCAATTCAATTCAGTTTATTTATGTAGCGCCAAGTCACAACAGAAGTCATCTCAGGGCACTGAACAGAAATATTCATATATAAAAACAATAATTTAACACTATTTATCTGAGGAGCAGACTGCTTTGAGTTGAACTCCATCACAGAACTCTCATCTTGAGCAAGCATGAAGGCGACAGTGGAAAGGAAAAACTCTCATGAGGAAGAAACCTTTAGCAGAACCAGGCTCAGGACAAGCGACCATCTGCTTCGACCGGCTGGGTTTGACAGGAACAGATACACAATGGCAGGTCAAGAATCACATTGAGATAGAAATAGTATTAAATGAAAACTATTAAATTTTAACAATTCATTTAAGGAAATTATGTCAATTTGTCCTCCAGTAGTCTAAGTCTGTAGCAGCATAACAAGCCAACCCTAACTATAGGATTGATCAAAAATGAAAGTCTTAAGCCCAGTTCTTAAAACTGGACAATGCCTTACAGACAGAAACTGGAAGTTGGTTCCACAAGAGAAGAGCCTGTTAAATGAAAGATCTTCCTCCCATTCTGCTTTTGGAAACTCTAGGAACCACAAGTAAACCTGCAGTTTGAGAGTGAAGTTAGGAAAATATGGATCAATAAGATCTCGATTATAAGATGGAGTTAGGTTGTTGAGAGCTTTGTAGGTTAGAAGTAAGATTTTGAATTCAATTCTGGATTTAACAGGGAGTCGATGGAGAGAAGCTAAAACTGGAGAAATATGATCTCAAGCTAAAGTTAATGAAAGAGAAAATATGTTTCAAGGATGCTCTCTGTGAGAAACAATTCAGTTCAGTTTTATTTATATCGCACCAAGTCCTAACAGAAACCTGTCCGAGATCCTTTTTCTGGTTCAGGATTCAATTTGTTTTTTCAATGTTTTCTGTGATGAGTTTTAATCTGTTTTTCAAACATAAACTGGTCTTGTTATCTTCTCCAGTCACCAGTTTCATTCTAATCTCAACCAAAACCTTAAAGCTTTGAGGATGTTGTTAATTCTACTCCTAGTCAAAGTACTTGTTTATCTAATGCAGTAAACCAAGGAGGTTTATTCTAACCCCTATCATTTGCCTCACATCAAATACTTTATCAACTGTACTGTATTGTTCAGCTGTTCTTTTTTCCACCGTTCAAAAATATTTATTCAGATAGTTATGTTTTCAATAAAAATCCTCCTCCTCCTACTCTTCACTTTCCTTCTCCCAGATGATCAAGAGAAATATCAACAATGTGCGAAGAATGACCTCCCATCCCACGCTTCCATACTGTAAGTACAGCTCCGATGTCAGTCAGCAGATAAGACGAGCCACCGCCTCTTTAAAAGTGCTACTCAGACACCATATTCTTGTACTAACAGCCTTTGGGGATGATTACATCACCCAGGATGTTTCTCTTTAAGTATTCAGCAACAGATTTTTTTCCCCCTCCATCTCTTTTGTTCCCTGTTTCATTGTTGATCTAAAAAAATTGTGAGCTCTTTTGCTAGAGTCTTGTATTTCTGTCTAAAACTTGAAAATGAGAAGGAGTTTGGGTAGTAGGACTCTCAGCATGTCAAGAAGGTGCCTCAGGTTTAAATTTATCTTTATCTTTAATTATACTGTGGATGATTTTGTGGGAATAAACAAAAACTTGTTGGGATCTGAGCTCCTACTGAGACATAATTGAAAAATAAGCTGTGCTGCGTTTTTTTGTTGTTCTTCCTGTTCATCAGACCTGACAGGAGCTCAGGATGGCAGCGTGCGAATGTTTGAGTGGGGTCACTCCCAGCAGATCATCTGCTTCAGAAGTCCAGGCAACTCCAGAGTCACCAGGATCCGATTCAACCACCAAGGAAACAAGGTGTTAAAACACACTCTGGTCTCTGTGCGCCCTGGAAGTGCTGCCAGCACACACACTGTACAGTGATGTGAGCCTGTCATTTTCAGAATCATCTTCGTATTTCCTGTCACAAATTTTGCCATTCAGGCACACGCCACTGTGGGAAGTTCATCTTGAGTACACGTTGTTACTGAGCTGGATGAAGCCAGCATTTTCAACTCCAGTGCTCGCCTCCAGCTAGTCATTTTCTCAGATTGTACCTCTCCTGTGCCATTACTATCATATCATCCTCTTTTGGCCAGAAAAAAAGTGAAATATGCTTCGAAAGAAAGAGAAAACCAAGTCAGAATTGGAGCAGAACACTTAATTGTAGTCGTGTAAGCAGGACTTGGACAGACCAGCTGCTATCTTCCAATCTCTTACAGGAGATTTCAGTAAAAACTCCTCATGCTATTAATATGCACAGCTTGGTTGGAAATGCTCGCTTCCTGTCAGTTATGTGGATTTAATTTGACTCTTGCCACCTACCTAAATAATTTTGAAGACCAAACACACCCCTTGGCTACAGCACATCCTTACAGTAGCAGAACAGCTGTGGACCTTGCAGAACCTGCTTAAAGTTCTCCCCAGAGAACATTATGATGGCATTTGTGTAAAGGAAGCCACGATTCAGAGACCCTGCACCACAACATCGCCCAAAGTTCACGTTCAGCTTCTAAACTCTTCACAAAACCATCACATGGTTTTTGCCCATACCCTGAATAGTGGAAATTAAGTTCAACTCAATGTTGCTCAGTTCAAACCACCTGGTAGGTGCGGTGGTTTTCAGCAGCCAACTTGTTTTTTGTGTCCAAAAGAAATGAATTACAACAGTTAGGCCTGTTGCGATAAACAATAAATCGATTACTCTCACGATAAATGAAAATTATCTACCTTATTTTCATTTATCGGCTTTATCGTTTCTTCATGTCTCTCTCTTTCTACTGAAGACACTGGATGATGAAAAGCTCAACTCTGGTGCTCTTCACTGACCCCTCTCTCTTCCTCTTTTCTCTTTAAAATCTGTTTTAACTGTCCAAAATCACATTTTTGGATTGTTAAAGTAGCTAAACTCAGAAGCTAAGCTACTAGCTAAGCTAACAGGCCAACCTCGGAGAAAAAACCTGTCTTGTCAAAGCTCCAAAATTCACGGTTGAAACCTGTGCCTTCGTGTAAAATGTTGTTTTTCTCTGCAGAAAGAAGCTGAGAACTTGTTTACTGATTTTTTTATTAAAAGTTTTATGACAAATGCTACGCTAAAGAGCTCAAACCACACCGAACGTCCGCCATTTTGAGAACCAAAAAAAAGGACAGAGAGACAGCCCATGCCACGTCAAGGGGCCTCCCTACCATTTTTCTTAAAGAGACACGCTGCTCCCTCCCTCACTATCCATCCTTCAGTTCAAACTGCCATACTACTGCCATACGGTGGTCAAAAAATGTACTACATTCAAAAGAAATCAACAGTTCTTCTTAAATTTGACAATAATTACTCATTATTGTCAAATTTTAAACAGTATTATCATTTATCGCAATAATTTCTCAGACAATTAATCGCCCAGCAAAATTTGTTGTCGTGACAGGCCTAACGACAGTCTGATGTTTTCTGCAGTTTGGGATTGTAGACGCTGATGGAAGTTTGAGCCTCTGGCAGACCAACACAAGTGGGAATACACCCAAACCATATCTGGTAACAGCTGATTCAGTCTTCCTTTAGTTTCTATCATCATCCACGTTTTACCGTTTTTAGCCTTTCGTCGTATTTTTACGAGTGACTTGTTTCTTTCCACCAGACTTTGCATTGTCACAACAAAACTGCTCTTGATTTCGTCTTTGTGGGCTCGTCCTCTCTCATTGCTACTGCAGGTCTCTCCACAGATAACAGGTACTGCACATGTGAACAGAGTACGACGAGTTAATTTTAGTTAGATTTAGTCCTTTGATGTGAACAAACACAATGACAAGTCTTATGATTAGGAAGTGGACTGTTATTTATACATTTCTTTATTTGACTCCACAGGAACGTGTGTCTGTGGGACACTTTAGTCACTCCGGCAAACTGCCTGGTTCACGGTAAGACGTCACACAGTAAAATATTTTATTTAAAACTGCATCTTAAACGTTTCCGCAGTTTTACCTTGTCCATACTGTGTAGTTGTTTTATCTAAGAGATTAAAGTCTGAAATTCCAGAAATAATTTGCTCAAGCAAGCAGAAATCCTTTCACATCAATTATATATAAAATAAGAACATAGTTATAGTTTTAGTTCATGTTGTAAAGCACATTGTGAACCCAGCTAAGTTTGAAAATGTGCTCATGTGGATGCAGATCATTTGTCTTGCTAGCTTTCAGTCAGGTCAATACACAGCTTTTGTCTAATTTACTTCTCATGATAACTGTATATTTTATCAAATTAACTTTTTGTTGCATTAAAGAAAGCTTATGAGTAAGACCTTAAATCCATTAGGGACAAGAGAAATGTTTTTTTAAGTGTTGTTCCATCTTTTAAGTACAGTTTGTATATTCACTGTAAATGTTTGTCTGCAGCGTTTAACTGCCATGAGTCCGGGGCCACCGTGCTCTCGATGGCCCCAAGGCAGCAGCTTCTTATCACCGGCGGGAGGAAAGGTTGTATCACCATCTTGGAGCTTCCCCACCGGATCCAACGGCAGAGCTTTCAGGCCCACGACTCACCGGTCAAAGCGCTGGCTGTCGATCTAACAGAGGACTGCTTCATCAGCGGATCAGCTGAAGGCAACATTAAGGTATTTGATCCATGAAAGGATAACGTTTGTATTTGTTGGTAAAAAGCAGATGGTTTAATGTGGAAAAATCTCAAGCAGGGCTTCACGGTATATTGAAGATTTATCAAAATTACAGTATGAGAATACTGTGGGCGGCCGTGGTGCAGTGGTAGTGGCAGCCGACCTCTGATCGGAAGGTTGGAGGTTCGAATCCCGACTTCCCACACCATGTGCCGTTGTGTCCCTGGGCAAGACACTTAACCCCGAGTTGCTCCCGGTGGGACTGGATGGCGCCTTGCATGGCAGCCTACCGCCACCGGTGTATGAATGTGCGTGTGAATGGGTGGATGGCTGGTACTGTAAAGCGCCTTGGGGCCCCTCATAGGGGGCTGGAAGGCGCTATAGAAGTAAGCTCCATTTACCATTTACCATTTACCAGAATGCAAACATGCAAGTTTGACAATCAGATGGACCCCCATCCCCCCACCACCTTTTTTTCATTCATTCATCCTTTATTTATACAGGTTAGTCTCATCGAGCTTCGAGGACTCATTTACAAGAGACATTTACCCTTAAATGTCCACAGCAGACACATGGAAAGTGCTGTGACCGTTGTAATGACAGAAAATGTGTGTTTGAGACAAATGATATTGTCATCACTATATTCAACAATGTCTCAAATTAGCCGTAGTCCTGAACAACAAAAGGTCTGATTCTTTTAGAAAGTCATAAGTTCTTTAAGTGAAATTCTTAATGCTAAGAAAAAAAGGTCCTCGACACAAAGTTCAAGTTAACTTGTCCCTGAAGGGAGTCCCGCAGGGCATCTAACACACGGGTACAACTGTCTGATTCTCCAAATCCACAATCAGATCACCGCTGTGTTTATCCACGGGGGCAGTGAGCTCCTTCAGAGCCAATAGAAATCAGTGTCAGGCGATGATTAACCACCTGCTCGCTACAGCAGTGACTGATGGAGACTAATGTGTAAGGTGAAAATGGTTGAGACCAAAAACAAAAAGAAGTCAGAGTTATTCTGACGGAACAGGCTGCACAGGGCTTCAGCTGATTTATTTCCAGAGGGGGCAGGTCTTTCATTTTTTTGGAGCTTATCACAGAAGATGTTACTCTTCTGTAGTGCACATCTGCTTAGAATTCAAATGACTTTCAGTCTGGATTATTGCTTCAAAAACCCTTTAGAAGCTTTCTTACTCCGCTAAAGTCATTTGGTGTACAGTAGTCCCTCATTTATCACAGGAGATCCGTATCCTGAAGACCCATGATAAGTGACAAACTGCGAAGTAGGAATAGTAGGACAAGTAGTAAGTAGTAGTTTTTATTATATAGAGATATGGATATATATATAGATAGATAGATATTAAGGTGTTTTAAACCCTTCCCACACTCTTGCAATATTCTAAACAATGTTTCTAAAGGAGCACAGAATGTCATGATTTCAGCTCCCTGCCTCCTCTGCTCTTGGCCACGCCCACTTCTCCGCTCTGCACGGTGAACAGCTGATTAGCTGCAGGAGGTGCTAAATAATTTTACTCAAATTCAGATTCCATGCCGATCGTGCGGCTCATCCATCAATCAGCCAATTGTGTCATGTCCAATTTTATTTTGAAAAGCCGCGATAGAGCGAGTCCGCGATAAACGAACTGCGAAGTAGCGAGGGACTACTGTATATTGGTTTTCTGCTAACTTTATTACACTTCACTGTCTGAAGATTTTAAAGCTTTTGAGCCTTTGAGCACTTTTTTTTTCTGTCATCCTCGTGTGCTTTAACATCTCAGCCACTATCATCTAAACCAGGTGTGTGAGAGTCCAGCATTCTGCAGAGTATAAACACAATATGCTTCACATGTACTAGCTTGTGAATTTTTGATAAATGTGCAGCCCTAATTCAGTCCAGTTGTAAGACAAAAAAGGAAATAATAAAAATAATAAGGAAACAGCAGATTCTTCAAGCTCAAACCTTCGTGCATCATGTCTACATTCGGTCAGCCTGGTTGTCACTTTGTAAATTTACCGTGATGCAGTATCTGTACTCACATCTGTTACAACAAAAGCCTGAGGCTGAAAACAGCTACTGGAGCAGGAGGACCCCCGTCTACCTTGGAAAAGCTTTGAAGACTCCTAAATATGGCTACTTGATCTTAAGACGAAACGTCTAAAAATAAACAAATAAATATATATATATCTCCAGATGACCTGGCTGAACATTGTTGGATTTGTACCTGGATTAGTGAGCATGAGCTGTAGAGCTACTTGATCTTATTTACTCTTTTTCTTTGATATATCTGTAGTGTTTAATATCTGACCGTATAAATAGAACAGGTGTGGTCTGTGTGCTGCTGAGACTGAAGGTTATCAGCTTAGAGGAAATAAACACAACTCTTGAATAATGACAGTTCCAGAGTAAATGTTGGAGATAATGCAGCTCATCCTGACAGGACCTGAGTGCAGCCACAGATTTTTGTGTTAGAGCAGTGGACCGCACAGCTCACCTCCGTTTGTGTGAACTAAAGTGGTGAAAACTGCTGACGTACAGATCAACATCCAGCCCTCAGTCATGCTTCTGGCACAGCTAAAAATAGCAGAGCATCATATCATTTATCAGAGGCTGCACAAACAGGAGCTGAGAACTTTTTTTTTTTTTTTTTTTGGGTCAGAAATTCTGAGCAGTGAGTTTTCAGCTGGCAAACAAAGTGTACTTGAAGGAAACTGCAGTTTAAAACAGAATAAATTTGTTCCGACAGTTTGGAAGCATTATTTTCCTGCTCTTCCCCTGACGCAGGTGTGGAGCATCACCACGCAGTGTCTCCTCTACACGTTTCCAAACGAACACGCTCGCCAGTCGCTGTTCAGGAACCTCGGGACGGGCGTGATGCAGATCGAGGTGGGACCGGCCAACCACATCTTCTCCTGCGGCGCCGACGGGACCATGAAGATGAGGCTCCTCCCCAACTGCTTCGCCGCCCTGGACAACGACGGCAGCAAGAGGGACGTCAAGTTCTTCATATAAGTGGACATAAAACGGGTTGAGCTGCTCAGCTGAAGAAAACGAAGCGCATTTCATGAGCGAGCGAAGCTCCCGGCACTGTGGATCAGAGGCTTCCTTCTGGGGGATGGTGCGGTGTCTGAGCGTAGGGCGTGAGGTTTAAATTCACCTTGAATGATGGACGAAGGGAACTCTTTCTATGATTTATTGACCTGAACACGACGACTTCTTGTCTGAGCCAAGAATTCCTTGGTGAAAAAAATCTGCTGCGGTTTTATTTTTTATGAAACGTGAACCCAAGCACAGGAAGTTTTTACAAAACTGGAGCTAAAGTGAGCACAGGGTAAGGACCGTAATCAAAATAAGCTGAACAGAGGAAAATGAGATAAACCCAGCTGGAGTTTCTCCACTTCAAACTGCCAATTCATTGTCCAGCACATGGAGAGGCTTTTTTTTTTATTTGCACAGAATGCAAAGCTGCAGAAAAAGCTAGAAGTAAAATGTTTCTGAAATGTTTAATTTTTCTCGTACAGTTTCATGTTTATATTAATAAATCAGCCATGAGGGTGAAAGTTTATTTTGGAGTCTGTGCTTGGGCACACCCAGCCCCCCCGGCACAACCCGGTGAGGCCAGCGGACTTCATGTAAAGCACATCACGTCTGGTGACGAGGAGGCTGACGCCAGCTGCGTGGAGGAGCAGAGGGACCATCTGTTCGGTTTCATGTTTGACTTCAGGAGCTTCTCTCTAACTGGACTTGAACACAAACCAGTTGAATAAAGTGTAGACGTCGTCACGATCAGCGTTTTGTTGCTTTCTGATAGAGGCTCGGATCAAACCAGCTCTGCTTACGAGGCTGGCACCTGTAAAGATCACAAAATGAAGCCAGTTTTCAGATGTGCTGTTGCCAGCTTGTACCAGCATGGTAGTTTTTCCACTTCTTAAAATCAAACGTAGCGTCATTTAGGAGTTGTAGAGATGCTGCCTTACTGGACCGAGTCAGACAAACTCCTCTCTGTGATGTAGAGGAGTGTTGATCCTCTTATTTATCAGAAAGCAAATGTTTCTCTAAACTGAGGTAGAACTTTGTGACTGGAGTTTCTGTGTGCGCACCTGTTTTTAAATGTATTGGCACATCAGCTAAAAGTACATGTAGCATAATGCATCTAGCTAGATCAGGCAGGGTGGTGGTACAGCTGTCAATCTTTAGTGATAAATACATTTAACCAGAGGTATTATTGTTGTGTCCTTAGTATGTGCAACCACGTGTTGATGTTCAGGTTCAAAAACTTCAGCTTTTGTAAACAAGACAGTAGATCATAGGAATTATTGCAGATGACAATGAAACGGGGTCTAAGCGGGAACGGTACACGTTTTAATGGAAGTTCTTTTTTTTTTTTTTCTAACAATCCGTTTGGAGAATTGACAACTGCCTTAGAAACAATGTTGTCCTGAAGTTAATTTTCATTAGCGGACTTTTTTTTTTTTTTTGGATGTGTTGAATCAGTCGTCGGCCTCTTTGTTTCCTTAATCGTCTAAACGCAGCACATCGCCTTCGGCACGTTTGGACAATAAGCTCTGATGCGTGATGCGATGCTTGAATAAGGAACAGGCTCCTGCAGAGCGTCTGATAGTGGATTAAACTGATTCAGCTCATAGAAGCTTTTCATGCTGCTGTAAGGAAACACATCACCAGAAGGAAAACCTTTAGATGAAGCAGATTTAATGCAGTTTGTACAGAAATACACAAACTAATATTTTAATCATAACTAGTGGTAGATAAATGTTGATAAGACACTTTATAATTGTTCTGTACAAACGGGTATATTTATGAAACATGTTCACATATAGGAGTAAAGTGATCGAAAGACATATATTCCTGATTTTTTTTCTTTTCTTCACAAACCAGGAGTCCTGGAGAGTAAAAAGAGTTTTAAACATGCTAATAGTGCAAACTCTTACAGAAACTATAGTTTTTTTCTTAAACCAAATACAGCTAGTCTCTTTAAACACGTCAATTTGCACAAGCTCAAACAAAAACAGCTCGCTTCAATAAAATACGCAGCTTTATTTCTTTTTCTCCAATCTTTAAAATGTGAAATAAACCAGAAAAATGTATTTTCTCATGTAAATCACTGCGATATTTACTGATGTAATAAAAGATTGCAAAACGAGCCGGCGTTGCGTTTTTCTTTCACACGTCTCGGCAGGAAGGCGTCCAGCGACAAAGTGGGAGGATTTTAAAGTTGAAATTTTAGCATTTTGCAGTGAATGTAACCTTGCATGGAGACTGACATGTGTCAATTATAATTAATACGTGGCTAACAGAAGGGATGACTCACCTTAAACGCACGTCTTCATAGTGTGGGTGGAAACTGCAGGACAACACGAGATCTGCTCCGACCGGCACTGATCTCATTAATCCTGTGATATTTCAATTATTTGACATGAAAGTGATCATGTCTGCTTGTCAAAAACCAGCACAGATGTCATTTTTACAATCTGATCAAAACTTGAGCCTGTTTTAAAACCAAAAACTATATTTATTCTACCCCATTCAAGAAGAAAATGTAAAAATTCTATAAATCATTAAAATGAGTATTTATTTATTTTACAATATTGGAATATTTTGGGCTTTATTATAAAAAATAAACCTAAACTTCATGCTGACTCTGAAAACGACAAAGTTTCATCAGATCCAAGTGGTTTTAAATGATCCACAAACAGGTTCTTTTATTTTTTTATTCTTTGTTTTAGTAAAAATGGAATTACAGTTGCACACATTTTAGTTGTATCATTTTAAAAGTTTAAATTAGTTCAAAGCTCTTGCAGTGATTACAGCAACTGATATGAAACAGAATAGTAAAGTAGTTACTAAAACATAACAGATCACCAAATCAATAAGTTTTTTTTATTCAGACAGTTTAGCTGTAATTGAGCATAATATCAAAAAGTAAAACAGAGTTTTATTGAAAAACTTTGTCAAACTTTTACAATGTCTTAAGTGTTTTTTGTTTAGTATTTTTACTCACGACAACTGTGACAAAAATGACTCGTTTCATCTTCTATTTGAGACACTTTGGAGTCTTGTCGACAGCGAAGCTGAATTTATGAGAAAATTCAACCTTGAAGTGTTGCTCGTCTCAGTGGGTGACTGTTACCAACGTCCCACGAGAGGCAGAGCGTATCGCTGCGCGCACGGATCAGAAAGCAAGAAGTAGGACAGGCGTTGGTACGGTGGTTAGTTCCTGAAGGCTTCTGATTGGCTGGCAGAGGAGCTCACAGCTTGGCGTGATCCTTCAGGATGACCTCCAGTTTCTGACTCAGCATGATGTTGCCTTTAGCCTTCAGTTTGCCAGAAAAGAACGCCTAATTAAAACAAAAATAAAGACACAGGAGTCACGTTTCTCTCCCAAACATAGTCGGGTTACTTATGAAGAACACAAGATGTGAAACAAGAACGAGTAGTGAAAAAGGTGAGGTTCCAGGTGGTCCGAGAGCAGATCATCTACTAAACCTCTCTCCTCAGCTAAAATTAATCACCTGACAGGGCTGTGATGACCACGAATGTTCATTTCAACTGATCAACTGATCTTTCATCATCAGAGACCCTGCCTGAGGGACCTTCAGCCCCATCCTCCACACTGTCTTTGTGTGTGCTCCTCACACACACAGGCCTCAGATCAATACCAGGCACTCCTTGAAACAGAAGTTCTCCACGGTGATGGCCCCTCCCACAGACGGATGGGATGCTACAGACATAACAAGTAGAGCCGATTGATTATCTGCCCTGAGTGCGTTCTGAACGAACTCGCTTCGAGACGAGAGATCATTCAACATTTTATCCAACGCTACGGAATCAAGGAAGCGCTAGGCCTGTCACGATAACAAATTTTGCTGGGCGATTAATTGTCTCAGAAATGATTGCGATAAACAATAATATTGTTTAAAATTTGACAATAATTAGTAATTATTGTTAAATTTAAGAAGAAATATTGATTAATTGTTTTGAGTGTAGTACCTTTTTGCGACCACCGAATGGCAGTATAAGATGGTTTGAACTAAAGGATGGATAGTGAGACAGCGAGCAGCGTCTCTTTAAAAAAAATGGTAGGGAGGCCCCTTGACGTGATATGGGCTGTCTCTGTTTCTTTTTTTTCTGTTCTCAAAATGGCGGACGCTCGGTGTGGTTTGAGCTCTTTAGCATAGCATTTTTCACACAAAGCTTTTAATAAAAATAAATATATAAATCAGTAAACAAGTTCTCAGCTTTTTTTTTGTAGAGACAAACAACTTTTTACACAAAGGCATGGGTTTCAACCATGAATTTTGGCACTTCGACAACACAGAGGTTTTTTTCCCCGAGGTTGGCCTGAGCTTAGTTTGTAGCTTAGCAGCATTTAACGATCCAAAAACGCGCTTTTGGATCGTTAAAATTGATTTTAAAGCAAAAAGAGAGAGAGGGGTCAGTGAAGAGCACCGGAGTTGAGCCTTTTGTCATCCAGTGTCTTCAGTAGAAAGAGAGAGACACGAAGAAACGATAAAGCCGGTAAATGAAAATGAGGTCAATAATTTTCATTTATCATGCGATTCATTGATTTATTGTTTATCGCGACAGGCCAAGGAAGCGCGTCGTTACGGATTGAAGGAGGTTTCGTTGTGGTCGACCTACAGGAAGTGACTTCATGTCAAAATGACGGGGTTCTCCCCAGTGTGAGCAAAAGAGCTCCAAAGACAGCGGGGCAGCCAGCCGGAGGTGTGTTTACCGTCTGTGGGGGGATTTTCCCCGTCACCACATCCATGAAGTCTTCGTCAGACACAGTGAAGGTCAAATCCACCTTCTCGCCGTACGGCCCTTTGTGCAACGAGCCGCTGCCGTTCTTCAGATCAATGGCTGCAGGAAAACGGCGACAAGAAGAAGGGGCGACAGAAGATGGGATTAATCATAAAAGCTCCACTTTTCTCCAGCAGCTGCTGAATAAATGTTACAATAAAAAACAATTATAACACTGGAACGCCTAAATCATCTCTGCTAACTCAAAGGTTTTCTGTAAAAACACAAGCTGGAGAGGTCCAACCTGAGCAAACAAAAGTTCACCCTGCTTTGATTGTTCACATTCAGTGACCTCAGACAACTAACCGCTCTGCTCCGTCTCTGCTGAACTTTGAAAATTGGCTAAAGCCCTTAATTGGCTGCAAGTTTAGCCTTTTAGTCTCTTGGGTGCAGGCGGAGTGTTGAGCCGTGTTGTCCTGTAAATTAAAACTCTCACATTAAGAAAACCTGAATCAGGATTTAAAAGAAGCTGCAAAAAACCATTTAAACCTCTGAAACTTTAAAACGTTCAATAAAACAGTTTCACTCTTAGGTAAAACTATAAACATAAAATAAAAAGAAACCAGCAGCTTTAATTGTGAATTATTGACGGTGTTTGTCGCATGTTGAGCTGATGAGTCACACAGGACTTTAAAGAGTCTGAACATGAGATAACATAACATTTATTTCTACTTCATTAAATACTAACCTCATTAAGAATAATGTCAGAATAAATGTTAAGGGGAACTAAAATGTTTGTTTTGGTTTATTCATAAACATTCAGACTTTAAAAAAAAATTATTATTATTATTGCCAGCATCCCATTTAAAACACCATAAAACAATATTAATGTTTAAGGCTTTACAGTTTTCTGTAGCCATGAAGCAAGAATAAAGTGGAATAACAAACGCATATTTTCCTGTAATATGATGATGGCGTGTTCCACGTGAACTCACTCCACTGTGCAGCTTTCTTGCCATCCTTTGTGATCTCCCAGCCGAACACGCCGTTCACCTTCTTCACCAACTCTGAGCCCAAGTCTTTGATGCGACGCCCGATCTCTGCGAACACCAGCTCGCTCTGAAGACCTCCTCCCTGCAGCGGCTGAAAAGAAACCTTTAGTTAAAGCCACGGCTTCTCAAAGTGGAGAAAAGACGCAAACAAAGCGTGCAACAAGGTGCATCAGAGTACAACTTCCTGCTTGTACAGCTTCTCAACAAATATTACAAATGATGCACGATATTGGATTTTTGGCTGATAGCTGATATGCCAATATATTAAAACTTATTTGGCCGATGCCAATACAGATATTTTCCGCCTTGATCTACTTACAGAGACTACATAGCTTTCTCTGCTGTGGAATTAAAATAATACATTATTCTGCATGGTCTTTGTCAATTTGGCTGCTACCACATGTAGATGCCAAAAAGGAGTCAGAAAATAATGTAACACTTCAAAGTGTTTAAAGTGCATAAGCAGTAGTGCATTAATAGATATCTTGACAGTTTCTTAAATTAAAAATTAACTTAAAACAGATTTCTTTCATATCGGTGAGTTATTTTGATGGAATGGCTGATGTCCGATATTTAATTTTATTGCTAATATCAGCCGATAACATGCCGATAACATCGTGCATCCCTACAAATAATGAAATCCACTCACAGCATCCTCTACAATCGCACTGTTGTTGTTTTTACTGCCAAGTCCAATCAGTGCCTTTAGATCAGTGGCTCCCAAAGCTGGGTCAGAACCCCACCATGGGTCATAAATCATCAAGCTTTGGGTCTTGAGATGATTTTCAGAAACAATTTTTTTTTAATGATCCCCGACTGCATTTTTCTGCCATGATTGCTACAAATTATAAAGTGTATTAATAAACAGAGCCTAATGGTGGCTTAATTGACTTAATTATAATATTTGTTTGTTTTGAACAAAGACCTGGGTCAGAAGTTTCTGATGCAGTTATTTTTGGGTCAGAAGCTGAAAAGTTGGGGAACCACTGCTTTAGCAAACGATTGCTGCATCTGTTACAGAACAAGAGTCCTGCATCTCACTGCCGGGACATTTATGTAAATATTGCACGTGCAGCTTGTTGTCCCTGCTAACCTGACAGAAGCTTGTTGCACGGTTTTAGTTTGAAGTACTGATGTAATAAATGTAGCTTGAAGCCATAGTCTCCTTTTTCTCTCTCTCCTCCCATTTATAGAGTAGAAACCATTTGTTCTTTTGGAGTGTACATAATAAAAAACTTAAGAGCAAGTCCAAGTTCCAGGCTTTAGTGCTTATGAACCACTTGTGTGCAGTTTGCATTAAACAACTGAGCACATTTTAGAGCTGCATTAAATAATTTTTGGGCCATATTTGGCTCTCGTTCTGCACTTTATGAACCCATTTCCAAATTATTAAATCAAATGATTAAAAATGACCCTTTAAAGGTTAATAACTAGGTAATAATCCAGTAATTATACAAGCTCAAACATTGTAGAAAGCAAACCCAGGAACAGAATGCATTAGATAGAAATTTCAAACCAGCAAACCTGCGCTTATCTTTGTGTCTTCATGAGCTTCAACATCAAACATTTATCTCTCTTAAATGAATGTAACACACAGGAGAACAGAAGCAAACCGAACAAGAAGCAAAGTATACAAATAAAATCATTAAAAACAGTATTTCACTTGATCTCGCTCATTACTGACTTCGTATTAAAGGAGGGTTTTATCTTCATTAATAAATAAACAGGACTTATTGACACTTTCTTAGATTCATCAAAAATCACTTTAAAATATGGTTAACAGGAACACATTACAGGACAGTCTCACTAAACCAAATCTGTGATAGCTGGTGCATTTTTCTCAGGGTCACGGTTAACTCAGTAAAGTTCACACTCTCATACGAGACGACCATGTTCACAAACAAATATGTTTACGAGTTTTAGCCAACTGACCCGAACACGTATCCTTGAGGAACACCTTAAAATCAAACAGGGATTATGGGGAAAAGGGAAAGTTGTATTATGGGACATTATTTTCAGCCTTAGGGACACTGACGGTAAACATAAAGTTACCGGTAAATAAATACCGGTAGATAACAGAACAAAAGTAAAAGTAGGAAAAAAAGAGAACATTATGGTAAATAAAAAATAAAAAATGAGTGACTACAAAACAAATGATAAATCTCCTTAAAATACTCAAACCCTAAATGCAATTTAAACAAAAGAGAACAAATATAAGCTGAGCTGTCTAAAAGACATCTCAGTAAACGGCACAAACTTTATTTGATTTGGGGCCGTTACTGCAAAAGCATCATCTCCCTCACAAACCAACCATAAATGAAAAACAGCTAACAGAAAGCCAGTGGAAAGATCTTAAAATAGAAGTGAAATTATTTCTTTTACTGGTACCAGTTGGGAGTCTGGCTGCAGAACTCCGAGAGGATGACAGAAACTGGCTGACGTCAAAATATGGAATAGTAATAATTAAATATTAAGGTGATTATTATTGTAAGAAATATCTTTCATTATTTAAAAAAAAAGGATTTGAGCTCAAAATTGCATCTTAATTGTAAAATAAGCTTTTTACCACAAAGTTTTAATTCTAGACAAAACCAACATTGTAGTTCCTCACATAAATGCAGTGTTTGCATGATGACTTTAAACAGCTCGCTAAATTTTTTGTGTGTTTAGAGAACCAAAAATAACCATCTCAGACGTGCTGCAGTTTAACTGAAGACAAATACTTTCTATTCTTATTTTACCTTTACAAGGTATGACAGATGTGGGTCCATTAGGATTCTAAAACATCTGTCTGTCTACAAAGCTGTGGAATAAAATGCTATATTTTTCAGAACTATAACCCATGGGTTAGATGTAGACTGTAGACTGAATCAAACTGACCCAAACACATATCCTTGAGGAACACCACCACTGACAAGAGTGTGCTGAGGAAATATTTCTCATTTGAACAGAAAATAATATTTTACATAACAAGCTGAATCCCAAATGCCAGTACATTATCAGTAATAATAATAAGTACCTTGTGGAGAGTTTCTGGAGAAGCTTCTGATGGTCCATATAAATCCACGTAGGCTCCAGTCAGAGCAATGTCACCATTCTCTTTCACCTGCGTGGAAGAGACGAGAAGAGACGGCATGTGAACGACAAAAACATTCACATAAAATAGACAGCTCAGACTCCTTCTGATCCACTGGACCCGTTGTGATGGCTGTAATCCTCTCTGCCTCTAAATCAGACTCACTTTGCACTGGATGTAGATTCTGTTGCCCTCCTTCCACATCTCAGTCTGCAGCGACTGACCTGGCAACACTGCCTTTGCAAAGCGGACCTAAACAAATAAAGCAAAAGTTTTTTTAAATTTTTTATAACATTTAACAAGGTACGTTTTTTGTTGTTGTTGTTGTTGTTAATTATGCTGTCTTAAATGTTTTTATTTTTGTTCAGTGTGAAAAGATTAATTCATCAGATCCTCGACTCTGCACAGATTTGTTTTAAATAGTGGGTTTTAACCTGATTAACAGTTAATGTGTAAATCCACATTTCTGTATTTTACAGGAACACACTGAAATTAAATAGTTTATTAGTTTGACAGTTCCATCCCATGTTCTAGAAAATTACTAAATTAGCAGACAAAATTACAACAGTTACCTGTGCTGGCAAAATGAGTCACAAAGAGGATTTTTTTCAGTTTAGTTATCAATTTTGTCATCTCCAAAACTTCAAAATGATGTGTAGTTAGTTGAGAAAGTGGCACCTGGCAACAAGCTAGTTTTGGTTGCAGGAGTGCAGATTTTAAATCTTGATTTTTATTGGTCTAGAATGATATTGTCTAGCCTGTATTTAAAAAGACAAATATCCAAGCTTTACAATGACAGCAAACATTATATGAAACATTATACGAAGGGATTTCCTGACACTGTGGCAGCCGGCAAAATAATCTGGTCAGTTTCAAAGGACATAATAAAGAATATATGAAAAAAATTATATCTGAAGACTTACTTCTTACATAACTTTCATTTAAAGATAGATTAGGAAGATTAATTTAAAGATAAGCCTTAGAAATGGACTCTCATTATAAGACTAAACGTTGTTTTAGTTACCCATGTTGCTAGATAGTGTCTTTAGACTCTTTTTTTTTTCCATTTAGAGCAAAAATCTGTTTTTGTATTGCACAAAAGCCTGTGCTCATTCCAAGTTATTCTGCCAGCACGAGTCACAAATGATGACAGTGAGGACTCTTTACAGCATCTATACTGTACTGTGATAGAAAAGAAGACAGGAAACCATTTGTAATGTGAAATTAGATTTAAGAAAAACAGCATCATCATGTGAAAGTGAATCTGTTCTTGGCTGAGATGTGATGCGACACAGGTCAGGCTCACCTTTATAGCCTTGAATCTGGAGGGGTCGTTGTTGGCGTACTGCTTGAGGACATGTCTCGCAGCAAAGCCCACTGAGCACAAGCCGTGCAGGATGGGAACCTTGTAGGCTGACCAAAGAGCATATTTAAGTACAGCATGTTCAAGTATAAACGAGATGAAAACACTGCATTTGACTAGAAAAAATCCCAAAGGGAGACGGAGTTCTAAGTGAAAGAAATTTATAGCTTGTTAGAAGTGAAAGATGTGCAGACTCACTTCCCATGGCGGCAAAGTTGGGGTCTATATGAAGAGGGTTCCAGTCTCCGCTCAGACGATACAAGGCGGCCTGTAACCGCAGGGAAGCAGACATTGTTTAGACTTATATCTAATTCATAAACCCTTAAACTTTTCATACTCAGGACGTGTGATGAAATTAAATGATCACAGAAACACCTAAAATAGGAAAGTCTTTGAAGTGATACAGTTGCAGCCATTTAAAACTGCTGCAGGGATTTAGCCTCTTATTCCCCTTTCAATGACACCTGCATTTCACCCCCCTCCCGTCTCGTCTTCCTTTTCTGCTACATATTCACGTTTTGTCTCGAACTTTATTAATTTTTCAGAGGGAAAAAAACAATACGTTCCATTTTCACCCTTACGTCATCAACTTCAGCTGATTTTTTTCTGCATCAAAAACCCACACAGAAAGACTCACTTGGTCTCTTGAGGTTGATTCAATCACCACGGCATCTGGAGCACGCTTAGGAGGGGGCAGAGAAGCCTGAGAAAAAGTTAAAACAAGACAAAAAATAAGTTCAATATTCTGCAGCATTTATAACTGCTGCTAAAAATGACTTAAAAAAAACAATAACGTGTAAATTGTCTAAACTCCTTTTATCAATGTAAATATATAAATACATGTTAAATGTTGAAAGGTTATCGGGTATATATTTTGAATTTGATGCCAGCCATATTAAAATAAAGCATGTGAACAGGGGTATTTTTACCACAGTGCCCTTTGGGTCAGTACACTCAGTACAACAATAGTATGGGGGATTTCGCCCTCGTGAGACCAGCCTGCAGCTTAAAAAGCTCATCTCACGAGGGCGCAATCCCCCACACTATTGTGTTGTACAGTAGTCCCTCGCTACTTCGAGGTTTGTTTATCGCGGACTCGCTCTATCGCGGTTTTTCAAAATAAGATTGGACATGACACACAATTGGCTGATTGATGGATGAGCCGCATGATCGGCATGGAATTTTTATTTAAATATTTTAAATTATTTAGTGCCTCTTGCACCTTTGTGCAGGCCGTACTGCAGGATAAACTTCCTGCTGCAGCTGATCAGCTGTTCTCCGTGCATGATCAGCTGTTCAGCGTGCAAAGCAGAGAAGTAGGCGTGGCCAAGAGCGCTTGCAGGTGGCAAAGAGCAGAGGAGAGCAGGGAGCTTAGAGTGTTTAGAGTTTAGAAACATTGTTTAGAATATTCTAAGAGTGTGTGAAGGGTTTAAAACGCCTTTTTAAAAAAAAGTAAACTACGACTACTTGTACTACTATTCCTATTTTGCGGTTTTTCCACGTATTGGGGGTCTTCAGGGTATGGATCCCCCGCGATAAACGAGGGACTACCGTATCACGTTTCCCTCCCTCAGGGAACATTGGTTGTATTCATAACCTCCAGTTTTTGTGTCGCCTCATTTAGGGTGCATTCACACTAGCCCTGTTTAGTCCGCTTTAATCGAACTCTAGCTCGTTTTCCTAGAAAGTCCGGTTCGTTTAGGGAGGTGTGAACGCACCATCAAACTCTGTCACGGAACAAAAAAGGCGAACTCTGGCCCGGGCTAAAACCTAGGTCTCGGTCCGGTAGAAGAGAACTCCAGCACGGTTCGAGTACAGTGTGAATGTAAACAGACCGGACCCCGCTCCGCAGGACAAACAAACACGCATTTCTCTGACCTTATATGGAGCCGTCAACTGCCTTGTGTGAAAAACAATATTCTCCATGGTCTTCTGCCTCATCTTCTGTTCATGTTAAGTCCATTTTTGAAAAATGACAAAATATAACTCCTAAAACTGCTAAAACTTGATGCCACTTCGTTTTTATTTTTATTTACAGAAGAAGAAGAAGACGTGTCTTCAGAGGTTTTTGTGTCGTTTCTTTCAGAAGTTCTTGGTGCAGCGCCCCCACAGGCGAGCGGGGGAATAGGTTGGTTCAACAGGTTGACTCGACTGCACAGTGCAGTGTGAATGCAAACGCACCAGCTCAAATGTAAACAAAAGGTCATGAATATTGGTCCCAAACCGAGTCTACCGGACTATCTGGTGTGAAAACGACCTTACACACTTTGTCTTGGAAACAAAACAAGTTCTTGTTTTTGCTTGATTTCAGCTGTGAGGGGCCTGGTTCATCTTTGATTCTGTTTTGTAAAGTTCCAACTCATTTTAGAGGTCAGGAAGACTCCAGGCAGCTCTGCTGGAATATTTGGTTGAGCTTTGGCTTCATGTAATAAGGCCTTGTGTCAAAGGTGAGAAGGCCTCAAGGGGGGATGTGCAGCATCTTTGTAAAACCTTAAAAACATGACCAAGTGCTCCTACATCCGAAAGACCTATAGAAGAAATGGGTTCAAGTATACTTGAAAATAAAAAAAATGGAAGGGGATTATTTTTACTGCTCTAAATATTGACAAAACTGGTTGTTTTGGGAGGAATGTAAGATTTTATCCAACAAAGTTAGATAAAGTTAGTAAGGTCATCTGGACTTTTTTTGTTTGTTTGTTTAAACGTTTCATCCTTCATCCAAAGGACTTCATCAGTTTGAGGAGCCACAACAAACTCAACGAAACCAACCAGTTTACTGGGGATACGATGGTTTCTGGGGCCCGCCCTCCCCCACGTCGACTCCTCTGAGGCAGCCATAACCAAAGTGGTTCAAACATCAAAGTTCATGCTGAATAATCCAGGTGGGACTGAGGTTGTTGTGGCTCCTCAGACCGATCAAGTCCTTTGGATGAAGGACGAAACGTTTCAACAAAAAAAGAAACTGTCCAGATGACCTGACTGAATGTTGGATTTTTTTTTACCTGGATTATTAAGCATTAACTTTGATGCAAGTTTTCATGTTTTCAGGACATGAGCAAGGTTTAAACAAAATTTTGTGGAAAAACATGGTGTGAATTAAACCAGTTGTTTTGATTTGATTTGGTTGATCTCTCTCTGAAGAATAAACTCCACTGCATCACTTTTCTCGTCTCCGACACCTTTTTTGACTTTGGTATTTTGCGTTGTGTGTGCACAATGTGTGCTTTAATAAATAAAGCTGGCATCGTGGAGCCACAGCTGGTGTGAAGTACTATGGCACTTACTGGGGTTCACGTAAGGAGCTACAAATAAAAAGTGTGTCAAGCATTTTCTAAGTCACGAGGCCGGCTGGTCCACAGACCGTCTGTAATCAATACTTTATTTTGTTCCAAACAAGTAATTTATTCTTTTGAAAGATAAACCGCTAGCTTCAGGAACTTATTTTACATGCATCTCAAAAATAACTTTTTAACTTTAGTGTGATTCAAACATAAAAACATACTTTTGCTTTGTCTGAGTTTCTCTTTCCTCCAAAGCCTCCAGCTCCGACCACAAACACTGTGAACTGGTTGAAACACAGCAGCTCGTCACCGTTGTAGGTGTTCGCTGAAACACAAAGCAAACGTTTCAGTTACGTAATCGACTATTCAGATTTATTTTACACAATTAAACCTAATTTATCATGTATTAGGAGTTCAGTCTAAACATTTATATTTGTACAAAATTACAAGAAGAGTTGTAGAACATTTAATTTAGTAAACTTCTTCATTTTATTCAAACTAAAATATTTATACTGTGATAGTTTTATCCTAAGTGGTTTAGTGTGAATGAAGATATTTTTAAGAAATCCACTCAGCAAACTAGTCAAAAATTTCAACTCCCATGATATTTTTGTTAAAGTTGGATTAATTATAGATCAAAATGCTTCAAGAAATGTCCATCTCTGTGGAATTGTCAAACAAAATATGAGTTATACACGGTCTATCATTTGAGTCCCTGCAGACAGTCATTAAACTGCTTTTCATTAATTCAGACTGAGAAGACACTCTCAGGAAATAGAAGCATATTAAACTGATGCAAACAAATGAGTCAGGAATAAATACCAAGATCTGTATGATGGAATATGATAAAGGTTAAATAAACTCACAGTCAATAATAAGAACAGCTCCAGATCCTTTGTCCAACACGTCTGCTAAATGGCTCACGCTGGTAAGTTTACCTGAAAATGTATTGTAAAGGATGTATTTAAAGCTATGCACAGTCACAGGACTCAATAACTTTTCTGCACCTTTTAACTTCTGAGGTGATTTTACAATCTACAAAGACTCGTCTTCAAGCCATAATATAATATTATGGTATAATATACAGCAATAATATTGTTGCCATAATAATTAATTATAAGAAACATAAGTTGAAGCACAAGTTCAGATCTTTTAAAATGGGGATACCAAGGTTATGAAGAAATAATAGCTTGCCTGTTGTTTTTGAGTTCTCTCTGTTCGGACAAATAGTTTATGATTAACAGTGTCGATGAGCCATCAGCTAGTTTGAGAGGACTAAGACAACAGTGGACCGTTGTCATCTTCAAAAAACTTCAATATAAAAATCAATCAGTGTTTCTCACTAAAACTTTTACGTAGCAGTCGATAGGAGTATCTCATGCTGCTGTATTCATTCATACCCATCTACTCACTAGACTCATGTTCAGGCTGCTGTTTAATACACCGTATTAGTTCACATAAATTGTGTTTAGCGTATATCTTAGATCCTTGTATACCGTTTCTTTTTATAATTTATATTTTTGGGTGTAACTGGAACCTTGAGTACACAATTTCATTCCACCTCATGTACCACATGTGATGTGAATGACAATAAAGAAACTTGAACTTGATATTTCTTTTACACATATATTAATATAGAGTTATTATGATCATTAACAAGTTAAAACAGCAGCAGCAGCTAGCTGCAGCAAGAATATTTATAACTATATAAAATAGCATGGACACAGAATCTTAACTTTGTGCATCCTAAAGCAGAGGTTCACTTAGGTTTGGTAAACATCTAGTTTATGAAGGCAGACTGTAAAGAACATGGCTCATCTTCAACCCGACTGAGTTAAACGTTTTGAGTCATCATTTGGTCAAACCAACCCAAACTGACTAAACAGCTTTAACACAGTTTTTAAGTTGTCAAAATAACCCGTGGGTTTTAGTGTATATAACAGGTAAGACATTCATAACCTTTCTACAGAGCCCAATTTTAAAACATCCGAACTGCTCCTTTAATCCCTTTTTAAGTTTAAAATTCTGATCTGTGTCACAGCAGGCTTAAAGCTTAGTCTGAAACACAAAAACAGAGTCACAGCAGGTTTAAATCATTTTTTTCCTACAAGTTTTTGGCAGAACGTTTGAAGAGTCCTGAAATAACTTCCTTTTTTTTTTTTTTTAAATGGCACCAAGTGTTGTCAAACAACCCACTGGGTTTTAAACGACAGACTTAAAGATTACTAACAGGGATGTCCTGGAGCACATCTATTAATCTGATATAATTTCATCATTATGAAACTCAATCACCCTCAACATAAAATGTTTTAAATAGGCTCCCAGTTGGATAAGCAAACGACTGACCCATCGAGGCATGGACTCCACTAGACCTCCGAGGGTCCGCTCTGAAACGTTTTGGAGTCCATGGATCGGACCGACTTGTTCAGCACTTCTCATATTTGCTCAACACAACCGACAACTGGAAAATCTGGAAGCCAAGTCAACTTGTTTTCTTTAAACCAATCTTGAACCCTTTCCGCAGTATAGCAGGGCACCTGCTAAAATAAAAGGCCACTCACTTCAGGGATACCACACTACATTACTAATGATGTTCAGTTGTTGTGGATGGGAAATGACATGGTACCATCCACAGAACCCAAAGTGTCACCCTACTCCTGCTCTTGGCTTCCTTTCTACTGTAGTAAGCAACATTGCTCAACAGCTTGAAAACCTGGGAGGCCAGCCAAACTGATAATGCAAAAGAACATGTTAAATATTCAGAACCTCCTTCCACTGCTCAATGGTCCATTTTTGAAGCTGATTGTAAGCACTTCAGGGATAGAAACCAAGTTGAAAAGATGACTTGCAAACACAAGAACAACAGATTCATTTAGCATTTTGAACCATAAAAAAGGATTTGGAATACCTGAAGTTGGCAGAGGTTTGTAAATCTCCAAATAATGCTCTCCATGCAGAACCTGGCACAAAATAAGACAGTAGCAAATAAATATACTCGACAAGCTCATTAGCAAGAGTAATATAAGTACTATAAGATTGTATGAAATATCTCTAAATAATATTTTAACGTATGTTTTCCAACCTGCGTGGGGTCGATATCAAGTCCAGGAATTGACATCAGTTCTCCACCCATTATGGCTTTATGTGTGGGAATGACCGCAAATGTTGGGAAGCAGCTGAAGTCATCATGACCTTCATACAGGAACCTACATTAATAAGGGAGCGTAAGTGAACTGTGAACTGCACAAATGAAGCAAAGCGCCAAGAAGAAAAAGAATAGAAAAGCACAGACGGCCACACAGGCATGTGAGTCGGTGTTCTCCATGCAGGTCAACATAAATGTAACGATCGAAGCAGCATTTTGATGAGAATTCACACAAAGACATTCAAAGATACCCACCTAAGATCGTCCGGGTCTTTGGTGGACATGCCGATCCCTAGAGCGTAGAGAATAGACTGGAAGTGGTCGTAAGTGAACTCACCCTTTTCCATTTGTCGTCCCACAACCGCACTCTGGAAAGAGTGCAAACAAAGAGAGAAAGCTGGAGATGAAAAGTCGGTACTTTTTGGGGAAATCATTTTAATGTCACAGAACGGTAGTTTTGATCCGCATTTCAACATCAAAACACGAGTTCACAGTTTGGGTGAATTTACCTCGAAAAGTATCATTTGGATGAACCAACAAACACAAAAGGTGATTTGGTTTATCCAAAGAGAAGATTTCTAATTTGTATTTTTTGGCTTTTAAAGGCATTAGCTTTGTCAAGCATTATTCCTTCTCTTATTAAGTGTCTTAAAAATAGCGTTCAGTGGCAAACATTCAAATAAAGCCCTCGTATCTCACCGAAGTGCAGTTAAAACAAACTACAGTGGGTTTAGAGCAAATTTCCTCTTGCTGGCATCCGTCCACTACAGTTAATCAGGAAATATGTGTCTACAGGAAGATAAAGACTAAACTGTGTAATACAAACTCCATTAAATTCCACTGAGCATCTAAATGTAAACTCTTTTTTTTTTTTTGCTCTGTCACTTTTGTGAAAAGGTGCAAACAAACATTGACTTCTTAAAAGCTAATAAAAGCCAAACTATATTTTTCTTCTCATCTTAAATCTGACATGATCGTGAATTTGACTCGTACTGTGACCTTCAGCAGTCCTCGGACTGAGGACCTGACAATGATCTTTACAAGAGTTATAATAACAAAAATAAAAATCAGCAGTTCAGCAGTGTACTTCAAGGTCAGATAACGCACAGCCTTCTGAACCATCAGCACAATTTTAAAACGGGTCTTTAATTTTGACAAGCGGCCAGTCCAGGGAAGCCAAGAATTGAGTAACGTTTGATTTGTGTTGGCGCCGGTGTTACCAGCTGAATGAAAATGGGCTGAACTCATGAACAGAGCAGTAATTAACAATAATTAACATGAATTAGAGCAGTGAATTTTGCACACAGATGTAGCTCTTTGAGTTTGTCTGCAGCAGCTCGGTGTCACATCAACTCATTCCTTTTCGCTCGTCGGTAATTTTATTGTTGTGGATGATTTTTGTGGAGGACATTAAGAAATGTTATATTTATTATAACATTTGTTGTTACTTAAAACTCCATAGTCACAGAGGAATACTAAAGCCCTCCCTGTCCTGGTATAGTGCTAAATAAATGATACAAGTCTATTTTAATAGCAGAAATAGTACTTACAGAGCACATTGGAAAGTTGATATGACAAATATCAGTAATAACTTTATAAAGTGGATGATTTAAATAAAGCCATAAAGGAATTTCAGTGGCTCGTTCATATCAATTAGTGTTATTAAATCAATGAAATGACCTACGAGAAGCAAAGTATGCCGTTATCCTTCTGTGGCTACATTACAGTCTCAGTGTTCCTGCAGCTGCTGATTTGTCATCCAAATGATCACAGAGCTTCAGAAAAACAATTCCTGCTTGGCAGAATGGTGCGGATCACACTCTGCAGAATATCACCACTCAGCTGGTTAGAAACCAACAGAAAGCCCGGCCTCTGAAGGCTGATTGTTAATTAAAACTGCAATAAAATGCAGATGTGGGAAATGAAACCTACCCACAATCATTTGGGTTTCATATTACAGTATATGCTCTCATATGTTCACGCTGATTAATTTGAACATGAAAATTAGATTTGAAGCTAAACTGAGACTATCCAAAGGCGGTTCTTGATACACACAATGTCCAGAAAAAAATCTTGTAAATAAGACTCTCCTTTATCTAGTTTTCAGATTATCAACGATTGCAAAAAGGTACGATTTTCTAATCAAACCTACTGTTATTGATAACATTAAATGTCTGAACTAGGGATGCACGATATTAAATTTTTGGCCAATATCCAATATGCCGATATGTTAAAACTTATTTGGCCAGTAACCGATAACAATACCAATATGTTTTTTTTTCCTAGACCTACTTACAGAGACTACATAGTTTTCTCTGCTGTGGAATTAAAATACATTATTCTGCGTCGTCTTTGTCAGTTTGGCCTGCTGCAAAATACAGATGCCAAAAGGGGCTGAAAATGATGTAACATTTCAACTTGGATAATATTTAATGTTAAATTTGTTCATGATATTTACTCTCTCTAACACAATGACAACACTTGAACAGTAGACATTTGTAAATTTTCACAAATCTAAACTCAACGGCACGCGTGATGTCATAACGATGTGCTGGCGCTGCAGGCATCCTTGTCACTGGGTTGTCATACAAAAACAGCACCTTTTATATCGGCGAGTTATTTTGATGGAATGGCCGATGTCCAATATTTAATTTTATCGCCAACATTGATGCTGATAATATCATGCATCCCTAGTCTGAACTGTTAGAAAAGTTTTTTTTTTTTAAAGCAAACTGTTTGTTTCATTTATTCGACTGCTCGTCAATTAACACATTTGAGCTTCAAATCATTTAGATCAAATTTATAAATCTAAAATTGACTAGTCAAGTTTGCCTTTATATTTCTATTGCTGCACTTTAAGTAAAGCCTTTATTGTCATCAAGTCAAATAAACTGACAGACAGGACCTATAAAAAACATTTTCCTTCATCACCGACTTGTTTAAATTGCGTAATCTCCTCATTTGAGATGCACTGAGAGTTTGTAGTTTTGTCAAGTTGCGTAACAACAATTCACAAAAAGACATTTCCAGTTTCTATGCTCTGTTGCGACGCAGACAGAAACATCTCTCAATAATACAACAGCCTAAAAACTACAGCTTATAATTAACCAACTGCCTCTCGCAAAACATGTAACCCTTCTTACTTTAAGTTCTTCTTTAAACTCTCAACACATTAAACCATTTAGCTCCGTTACACAGTTGTGTAGCTGGAGCCTGTAAATAAACACATGCGCAGCAGCGGCACAGCATGGATTAACTAGACTTGCACCACAAGGACAAAGATAAAAATGCAACAGTGTGTGTGTGTAACTACACAAGTATTACACACACACAAAGTTCAGTGAGGACACAGTGGTGATGTTTGTCTTGAGGCTACAGTGCGACTCCATTCTAAAACGCAAGCAGACAGCTACACACTGGAGAGGACACAGAAACCAGAAGTATGCATGCACATTATTTTAAAAACTGCTTCACAGTACCACTGAACCAGGACAGCAAGTGCTGTCAATCCATCACAGCATATAAAATGTATTTATTTTTTTATTTTTTTAACACAAACATTAAAATACATTTCTCACTCAATTTTACATCTAGTAACTATTTCTGCAGCTTCCCTGTTGAACTGAGCACAACTATTGGTTGTAAATGAGTTAAAGTTAATGTTAAGATGACACAACTGATGAACAGTTTCCAAATATATGCTGAATTTATGCACAGCGAGATTATTCATGTGAGCATAATTACTTATAAATGCGAACTGACAATTGCATCCTACCAAGGAGCTTAATAAAATATAGTGTTGCTGCCGTCTTTGTAGATGATCGTTTCATTTTATTTAGGCAACTGAGCAATATGTGAGCCGTCGTCAGGTCGTTCTGGTTCTCAGAGGGGAAGTGCAGTAAAGGGGAGAAACACCTACCGAGGGAGTCTCCTGTGTTTCAGCATCTTTTGTGCATCTGATTTTAAAAAGCTAATGTGAGTAGCACTTGTCTGGGGTGTCAGGTTTATATTTGTACAGGAGACACCCAAGTTACTCTGTATGTCGTAGGAGCTTTGCCAAGGAGGCCATTATCATCCCTGACTTAATACTGCACAGGGTTGTTACAGCGTCATGATATGCCAAGTTTGAAACAGCCAGAGAGTTTACAGCTGTGCATTGTTAGATGTTATTGTACTTCCTGTTGTTTACCGTCCCAGTAGCTGAACAAAGAGGCCAGAAAACATCCAGAACGCAGAAAAAAGAAGAGGTATTGCTGCAGAGAAATGCAGCACCCCGAGCTTCCAGTGGATCACAAGACATGAGCTAAATAAACTAGGTTTAAGGTGTCTACAAGTTTCTGTATGCTGGTTTTTGTTGATTTAAAACTAAAAGAATTAGAGTAAATGAAAAACGACATTGGAGAGGATAAGTAACGCACGGTGAAGCCGTTTTAACAGGACTTGCAGTCTCAAAGTATTCCAGATTTTGGGAGGGAAATGCAAGTATGAAAAAAGAAAGTTAAAATATTCACTCGAGACCTTTTGTTGAGTTTACCTCAGTAACTCTTCAGCAACCTTGTAAGATAATACTTGAAGTTATTACACAGGTACTCTTCCAGTGATTTGTTTGATGTCCTTAAGCTCATAAAATTACAAATTATTATGCCCATATGTTTGCAACACACACACACACACACACACACATTATAGACAAACGGAAAGCTTCAACCATTCTTGGCATGCATCAAACAAAATCATTTCTACAGTATATTTATGAGCACCATTTCTAGCTGCCACTTCAGAAAATGTTTTTTTTTTTCTGTCAACAACTGAGATTGTCTGAATCAGATAAGGCCACCTTTATTTATGACTGAAGCATGAATTTGCCTCCTCCACATCTACTGTATTTGACAAGCTTAGCTATGCTCACAACATTCATTTTAATCCACACCAGCAAAGACTTTTCTCCAAAGCTTTATATTGATCAAGGCCTTTTCAGCACGCACCTCCCCCCCCAAAAAAAAAAACAAAAAAAAACACACACAATGGGGCTGAGGTCTGTGGTTGCCAATTCAAGTGTGAAAATCATGCCTCGTGCTTTCTGAACAAGTCTTTCTCATATTGAGCCTGATGATTCCTGACATTGTCATATTGGAATGTGTCTGTCATATCAAGGAAGTTAGGACTTTTGATGCTCATAATATTTATTATGTAATAGTACCTGAATATATGAGCATTCAGGTAGTCAGCTGATTTTATTCTTTTAGGCACAATGGTAAATGGTTAATGGTAAATCTAGACTAATCAACAGGTCACATGTAATTTGTTTACAAAAGGGATGCTTCAGATATTTGAAAAAGAGGTTCTGTGGAAAGGTTACGAAGGAATACTATCTTACCTGTTGCAGATAGCTTGTTGAACAAACTTTGTTTGCAGGAATGGAGTTTAATTCTGATCTGATTGACAAGCTAACGAAGTCGAAACGGGGATAAGACCAAAGTGGATTGCTGCCACCTTCAAATAATTCAAATCTCAAAACTTTATAGCGGTTCATGAAAAAGTTTTAGAAACAACACTGCTGCCAAATTATGATGAGCTGTTAGCTTTTTAAATCTATAATAAAACTACAATCTCTCCAAACTGAGGTTGTTCAAAAAGCTACCTTCCACAGGTAAGACAATAACTGCTCATAACCTTTCCTTAAAAGACAAAGCACCCACTTTAAGATCTGAACTATCCTTCAGTGTCAGGAGGCAAAATAAGAAAGAAGATGAATACTAAAAAAGAACAACCCATGGTTTTGAAAGAGTCCCCATTTTCACTATGAGCCTCTAGGTGTCTACATCCAACAAGTGGACCTTTAATCTAACAAACTCAAAGAAGCTCAGATGAATAGTTTAAAACCTGGCTGAGTATTTTAGCAGCTACAAACTAAATGTATTTATTCCCAAATGCTTATAACTTGATATAAATGTATTTCCTCACAAGTAGCGCAGGTAAAAGAGAAAACTACAATAAGCATGATTTCTAATGCTTCAAGATCCAAACTCCCTGCGACTTATAGGCCGAAGCGACGTATTTATGGATTTTTCCCCATACTGCATTTATAAACCAATTTTTGGCTGAGATATGACCGTTTTCATTCATTTTGACTAAAAATATTGAACACTGCCATTTTCAACCGCTAGATGGAACTTTAGTATGGCATGCCATTGTATCATGTAATACGTAAAAGTGGCTATTAATGACACAGTTGTCTTGCCACAGCCTGCCACCGTCATCTGCCTGGAGCAACAGTTAGCTTCATTTCGCTGCGCTGCACCAGTGAAATGCAGCGGATTTCACCACTGAAGTGCATTTATTATGTAAAAGTTCAACTGAGACACACATTTACTATAAAGTCGAGCAAACAAATAATTGTTTTAGGTGTTTATTTTGTTAAATTTTGAAGAAATGCACAGCGAGTCGCCCTCTGCACGTTCATGTTTCTGCGGCTTGGCTTTTTACATGCAGCTGATTTGACCGTCAAAGTGCATTTATTAAGGAAAAATTAGACTGAGACACACCTTTGCTATAATTCTGAGCAAACAAATAACTGTTTATAAGTGTTAATCTTGTTAAATTCTTGTTAGAATCCTCCCGTGCACGCCCCTGCAGTCAGCATTTGGCAGCCAATCGATTTGTGACACACCAGCCCACATTTCCGGGTTCGGCCCACATTTCCAGGTGGTCAGCGGTGACGCATAATAGATGCAACGTATACGGTGAAGTGACGTATTGATGGATTTTTCCACTTTATTAAACATATTTGGACTGATGCAACGTATAAGGCGGTGCGATGTTTAAGGCGGTGCGACGTGTGCAGCAGAAAATACGCTACAAACATCTTGTCGGTTGCTGTCAAAAAACAAAAAAGGTAGCAGTAGACTCTACTCACAGGATCAATCCGTGACTTTGACACTGCAGAGGTTGGAGCAGCAGTTAGATTTGCACCAGCTTCTCCGTCCGACTCCACTCGAGAAAGCACGTCCACAACCATCCCCATGGACTCTGCACAAAGACGAAAGGAAGTATGTTCGAGCAAATGAGGTGACACGTGCCTCATTACACCTCAGGCATATTTAAAACACTGACCATGCAGGTAAGCAGAAACACTTTAGCTAAACTATGCAAGGTTTTTTCCCCTCATTGACTTAATTTACCTTAAAACCATCCATTATAAATTGTTCATTAATTATGTTGGACAGCTACAATTATCCATTTAATTATCTGTGCAACCCAATTTTTTTTCCATCTCTGTTACAATAAGTGGAAGCATTATTATCTTCAACATATAAAATAATGAGTAGCTCCCATGTTTGGCTGACAGTGAACAGCAAATGACTATTTTAGAACTCAACAAAAAATAACTTTTTAATCTAGCCTTCTCAATTAGCTCTTACTAATAAATTAAATAAGCTTAAGAGCAAATGTTTTATTAAAAAATTCCTCTGAGGGAATTAGAACCAAATATATATATATTTAAGTTAATTAATAACCTATGTACATGTCTCATTTACTACTAATTATTGTGATTAAATTGCATGGTCTGATATCAGTCTGAAACAATTAGCTAAGCTTTAGTAATTGTTCTTGCTGTGATCAAAGTGAGTCAGATCAAACTGCAATCACACTAAATGTCTTTAATAAATTACCAAGAATGTGGAAGGTTTTATCTGCAATCAAAGCAGAAAACATACAATTAAATAGCTGTCATGTTTGTTTTGTTGAGTACGTTTGAATTTTTGATCCATACAACGAAGACTCAGAACCTACGTGCTAATTTGTGAACTTTTACTTAAGACGATTTCTTTAATTAAATTTGAGATTGTGTAAAATTAGTTTAATCAAACAAATCCAGATGCAGCTTTTAAATAGACAGCAGGTGCATTAAGAAAAAGTACAGCTAGTTCTCTATTAAAATGCCAGTTGTTATTATATGTAATGCATTGAGTTCTCACTGTGCGTTTTCTGAAAATCATCTAAATATATTAGCTTTGAATTAATTTGAATACCTACACATGAAAAAGCAGAGACAGTCTGCAATAGATCTAGAAGACCACGCGGCTCCTCATTATCAATCGGAGGCAAGCACTTACTGAACAGAGGCAGCAACAAGCCTCAGCATTAAGCTACAAATGAGGTGGAACAACCAAGTCATGCTAATGAGACCTGCAAGCACCCGGTGGGAAAAGTTCAGTTAACGTTTACAACGCCACCCTCCCTCCCAGCTTCCAGCACAGAGAGGGCAGAGGAGGTGGAGAGTTATAATAAATCAGTGTTCTCCCCCTTCTCGTTTGCATCAGACCTTTTGGGATTTGTTGGCACTTGTGTTCAACATGGTGTTCTCCCTGGCTTTTTCTCTCCACTTCATTTGCTCCGTCTCAAACATCATTTGATCCTCACCTCATTGCAGGTTTTGAAATTTCCTGTAATTACAGGTAAGCTGATGGTAAAGCGCACTCTTCTCCCAATTTCAAAGAGCCTTTCTTTGCTACACAGCATACTAAAACATTTAAAATGCGATAAAATAAAATAAAAACTAATCGTGCATAAAAATACAAGACAAAAATACAAATAGGTGAATCAAGGTTCATTTGACTTCTACAGTACATCAGGTTTGCACGTTATTTTTAAACAGCATAATCAATTTTAACATACATTGCTATTGTTCCACAGTATGGCTTTATAGTGTTTACAGTTTCTGCAGGGTCTGCAAAGTGCTATGACTGCTGAGTCAAATGAATCCCAGCTCTCCTTTTTTCAATATTTCTTATGAAGTTAATGACCGAAAAAGATGAAAAATACGGGACTTGGCACAGAAGCAGAAGACAACCACAGACACACACACACAAGATCAATTTAGAGCAGCATGTTTTTGGAAGAAACCATGGGAAGAGAATGGAGAACATGGAGAAATCCCAAGCGTTCAGTAGAAATACTCAATACAGAAAGTCCTCAGGTAAAATTCGGAGACCTGAGAAATGAGACCTTCTTGCTCCGAGGTGACAACACATCACAGTACAACAGTACTTCATCGTCTAAAACAGTTTGTAATATTTGTTAAAGTTCTACAACAACTTGAAACTTTAGACGTCTTGACTAGAATAAAGCTCACAGACTTCAAAGATTTCTGTGCTCTTATTACTTCTCAGCTAGATGTTTGTGATTCTTTGCATGTCAGTGCAGCAGTCTCCTCACCGTAAGCAAGTAAAACAAAATGTAGGTGCTCATCTTCTACCAGCAACAAGAAAGTATGATCAAATAGTGTTTTTCTTAACAGCTTGTTGTTAAGCTCCTTAATGGTCTGGCTTAGTGAACAGGACTTTTGCATCATCATGAGTCATTAGATGAAACAGAGTGAAAAGCAAAATCTTATAATTTAACGAGGACAGTAAAGTAGCTTCCTTTCCAATTTGGCCTACGTTATAACACTGAGGTCTAAAAACCACACACTTTAGTCCTGGAGTTGCCTTCATACTTGTATTAAAATTCAGAAATTCACCAACGCTCCTCTTTGGAGTTTGATTTGTCGACAGCTTCAAAACTTCAATTTTAATGGACACCACTCTGTAAATAATTTGTTTATTGTATTTTTTACTCAATGTTAAAGTCTTGCAATTTTCTTTTTGTTCACATTTGACTATGAACTTTTTTCCTTAGTACTTTGGTTGGAATTTTAATTGCACAGCTCTCCGTTTAGGTTTTGTTGATTTAGACATGAAATGATCACCAATTATATAAAAATGTATTAAACATCTTTTTATCATCTGTAAATTTAACTGAATTTCAGGCATTACTTGTAAAAGCTCTAAAGTTATTAGTGGGAAACAAACTCAATGACAAGACCTGAGGATTTTTGGTTTAAACTGCCTAAAACAAGCTTTTTTTCATTTAACTGTACGATCGTCGAGTTAAAGAACACAAGACAAGCACAATTAATGTCCAAATTTTTTTTAATCATATTTCTTGCATTATAGAACCAAGATGTTTCAGTCCTAAATACCAAAAATTAGATGTACATACATCCGTCCAGAGGACCTGACTCACCTTATTTATTTAGTTTATTTTTTTATTCACCCTTTATTTAGACAGGTAGTCTCATTGAGTTACAAGAACTCATTTTCAAAAGAGACATGTTAGATTGATCTACCTGGATTATTGAGCATGCATCAGGACATATAGATACATGCCTTTTATTAGCAACAACTGTTTGGGTACTTATAACAGATGAATGAATAGACACTGATGACAAAAAAATGGCATGAAATGATCCATAATTTACATTTTACATTACGTGTCTTACTGGGTTTATCTGTAGGAGTGGATACTTTACAGGTAAATGTACCATTGTTATGTGCCTGAGGCACATTATTCTTACTATTTTGTCCTTTGGACATATTTTGGGTTTTGGGTTAACTAATTAACCTTTAATCGTTGTAAGCTGGCCCTGTGATGGACTTGCAACCTGTCCAGGGTGTACTCCGCCCCTCACACAATGATTGCCGGACATGGGCACCGGCGACCCCCATGACCCAAAATGGAAGAAGCGGGTAAACGATAATGGATGGATAGATGTTATAAGCTGTGGCGAGTTCCGCCCGCCCATAAAAAGGCTGGTTCCAGGGAGCTTGCTCTCTCTTTTTGGACTCCTTCGTTTTGTCTGCTCTCTGGCCGTCCTTGTTTTGTTTTGGTTTGGTTCTGTTTTTTCTGTTGCTCATCCTGTCCAGGATGCATCTCGACGGGGTAGGCTGATGCTGCCGTCCTATGCCTAACAAGGTAGTTTTGTAGTTAACTTTTTATCTTATTTTTGTTGTAACTTTGGCCTGGTGGGACCGGTTGTCTTGTTTTTGCCATTTCTTTTGCCATAAGTTTTTTTCTAGTTGTAGTCCGGTACCAGCATAGGCTTCGATGGCCCTGTATGGAGTTGGCCCGGTGTGGTAACTTTTTATTTGTTCTGTTTGACCGGATCACTTTCAGTTAATACTTTGGGGTTATTTTGTCTTTTTGGTGGACACGGGAATTGGGGGGATGGGTTGTCATCATTTTTTTTTTTCCCTTCCCCGCAAGAATCCGTGTCAATAAATTGAATGTTTAAACCCTCATTTGTGAGTCCCATGTCCTCCTTAATATGCTGTGCCCTAGGTGAACGTAACAGCTACATGCACCAAAGAGTGTGTGATTGTCCCCTTGCATTACTGACCTTGTATATTTGAAGGTTTGACAGCGTTTGTAAAGTCACAGATTTCGTCCCACTGGTCTCGAACAGCCTCAGGAGTCATAAGTTTGTTCCTCTGTCTCACAATCCTGCCCTGAGTACGCTCCCAGCGCACTGCACACACACATGCGCAAACAAAAAAGGGGTGTGGGGGGTCAGCGCTCCGTGAAAATCCTGCACATACAGTACGAAGGAGCTGCTGAATATTAAAACATATTCAGACATTACATAGGAAACCCACACTGTACTCACATTTAGCAATCCAGCCTGCACCAACCTGCATAGAGATTAAATTTAAAGACACACTGATATTAAAGAAAGATTGCCATTTGATAAAAACTGAATTTGTCCATTATTTATTTTACCAGCAATCAAAGCAACAAAAAAAAAAGGACACAAAAATGAGCAAAATCAGAAGAAATACATCAATTTCCTGCTTACCTCATATAGTCCTCCATTGTCTTGGCATTGTTCATGACAGAGCCAGAGGACCAAAGGAGAAACAAACTCAGGCTTCAGGGCCGCCACCAGATCTAATTAAATAAAACAAATGTATGTTGTTGTTGCTCTGCACATTTATTCTTCCTGCAACTGATCTACAATGTCAAACTGTGCTCGGCTTTGTTGGCGCATTATTAAAATTACATATGGCCTGTTTTTTTTGCTGGTTTTAATAACACATTAATAAAAAATACAAAAAATCTTCACAAAACAGTGTGTACGCAACTCTGAGCTAACAGAACAGAGTACAGGTTGTTATTTTTTTAATCACTTAACAACAGGAGGAAAAATAAAAAATAAAAAAAAGATTCCCATTTTGCTTTTTTGGGTGCAGAATATCTTCTACTTCAAGTAATGCGTTCGATAAAAGCACTATGACACTTATCAAAAATAGATTTTGTCATTTCAGAGCAGACATTAGGACCACATGTCTGCCCGAGTGCTTAATCTGATGTGAACTTTTAAAAACTTATGGTCTGAAAGCATCTTAAATTATTCCGGAGAAAATCTGGGTGTGTTTAGATGAAAAAAAAAAAAACTTTCACAGCTGAGAGCAAACAGGAGGAGCCAAAAATAACTAATTAATTTTCATTAAACCTAAATAATGTTGGAATAAAGTCAGAAAACTATTAAAGCAAGAGCTTTTAAATCCCTCTTTAAATCATTAAATATTTATTTCCACACACACCATATGAGTTCCTAAAATATCTGTGCTCCGGTGGTAAGGGGAAATAAAGCAATCTGTTTCGCTGCATTCCCCGTTTCCCCCAAGCACCCCTTTCTTTTAGCATGATGAGTTTTGTTCTGTCTTTCAGACAAGTCTGAGTCAGTGAGTACGAACATATGGAAGCAAGTCATTTACCAAGGTGAGACCATCCTGTGACAGTTGGCACAGTACCGCATGACAGATGCTACTGCAGACAAGCACAGCATGGAAACAAAACCATTCCTCTGGTTCGTCACTTGTCCCCCCCCCCCTTCAACAGAGCTGTAGTCACCGAGCATGAACTACTAACGTTTGGTAGCTAGCCCAGTCTTCATTAGATCAAAACACAGAAGGTAATACTAAAAAATCGTCTTACCTTTTCACCTCACTGAGAGATTGTTCTTAAGTTTGGGTTTCACGCAATACAATTCATACGAGACGCTCAGAACTTTATTTTATATTGATCATCGTGCGTGTATCCGTGCTTTAACTTTCTGAACGTGAAAAATTTATGGTAACATTTGGAAGCACAGTCAGAATCATCAGTGAAATAAAAAGGCTTAGAGATGCCTGTTTAAATTTTTTAAGCTAGTCGGAGGGTGCAGGATTTTATCACGGCAAAAGAAAACAGCCTCTGAATAATAAATGACAAGTTTACAAGTCTACTTTAAATTATGTTGCTTCAAATTTGACAAAAGAACTGTGCGTGCATTTAACTGGAAGATTTTCAATTTTAAAAAAAGAAGGTGTTTTTAAAATTCTATTTATCCGTTTTGGCCTGACCAAATTTAAAAAAAAAAAAAAGTGCATTTGAGAAAAAATGAACTCCCACAAAGCAAACAGACTAGCTCCGTCTCTGCTTACCTGGCGGCATGACAGATTCTGTGAGGCGTGACCCAGCCACCGGAGCAATGGTGTTGCAGTGAATGTTGTACTTCTGCCCCTCGATTGCCAAGGTGTTAGCCAGCCCGAGCAGGCCTAGCTTGGCAGCGCTGTAGTTGGCCTGGCCGAAGTTTCCATAAATGCCTGCAGCTGAAGCGGTCATGATGATTCTAGCCACACACAACCAAAGCCAACACAGTTGGCATTAATGCAAAGTGACAGGCATCACTATGGAGTCAAAAAGAGACTGTGACAACCCACACACAGTCTCACAAAGAAGTACACACTTGTCATACAGATGTATACTGATGTGCATATTTAGACATTCAATTAAATAAATAAAACCGATCAACTCTTACCACAAATGTACACACACACACAACACAGCACAGTAGGTTTATTCAAACTGCTTATGCAACCCACGTGTCGGAAGAAGAAAGTGTTTGCACACCAAAGGAACAAGCTGGCACTGAAGTGCACAAATCTCACGCTGAAGTAAGAAGGTTAAGCATCAATGCCACATTAACTGCAGGAGTCGTCTGCGAATCGCCATCTCACCGGTCATAAGTAAGCAGTGATCCATATTACACCATGCTCATTCAATGATCAAAACATTAAGGGGACTGGCAATGACAAATCGTTTTTCACGTCAATAATTTAACGCGCCAAATTTGTGAAGTCGTTTACTGCGAGAAATTTTCAGCCCATCAGGTTTTATTACCCAAACACATATATTAGAATTTTTACAGAGCATGGCATGATGAAATGTTGCATCAAGGACCTACTTCACACAACAAATATCTTCAGAGCGTAGCTTTCAAAGCTCTGAGACCAGGAGAGTTGAGTCGATGACATTTCGCCTTTTTATTTCTTCCTGATATGGCTTTTTCTTTCAAATGCACCATAAATCTTTCTTTGGGGTGACTGCACACAGATTGGATTTCAAGAGTGTGCATGAGTAATGCTCAACATTTACACATTTAACATAATCTGAAAAATTGTTTTTTTCATGTCTGAAATAAAATATACATATATATTAAACAGCTTGCAGTTATGTATTCAAAATGTTTATTTACAACTAGCAGAAATATTTTACTTGCTATACGTAATACGGAGCTAGCTCTGAGCTAAAAGCAAATTTCATCAAAATGTTTGTTAAAACTTTTTTGTATATTGGTTTTCCTTTTTTTATTAGCTCATTCATAAAAGAGCAACTTTTACCCCGATTAATTCAGAAGCAAAGAATTATATGCAACGTAACTATAATAATAATTATAACTTAAAATATGAACAGATAAATATGCAAGATAAATATCCATGTTGTTGCAGAATACAGTAGTCCCTCATTTATCGAGGGGGATACGTACCCTGAAGCCCCGTGATGAGCAAAAAAAATCTGGAAATCACAATGTATGATTTTTTAATAATTTATTTGTGTGTTACTGCTGCAAATAAGTATTTGAACACCTGCCAATCAGCAACAATTCTGGCCCTCAAAGACCTGTTAGTCCGCTTCTTAAAAAGTCCACCTCCACTCCACTTATTATTCTAAATTAGAAGCACTTGTTTGAGGTAGTTAGTTGCATAAAGGCACCTGTCCACCCCACACAATCAGTAAGACTCCAGCAACGTGGCTAAGTCCAAAGAGCTGTCTAAAGACACCAGAGACAAAATTGTAGACCTCCACAAGGCTGGAAAAGGCTACGGGGGAATTGCCAAGCAGCTTGGTGAAAAAAGATCAACTTTTTGGAGCAATTCACAAAAAAGGTTAAATCGTGTCATCTGGACCAGTTTCTTTAAGGGAGAAACGTTTCATCTTCCATCCAGAAGACTTCATCAGTCTGTGGCCTGCCAATCAGATCTGTCCCATAAGTAGCCTTCATTGCTGTGTTTCAAGCCAACCTCCTGCTGCGAGTAGTATCAGCCTTCTGGCCTAAAACATCTGATTGTAAATCAAGATGATTGAGTGTTTTGGACAGATGGGTCCTTTTGCATGAGTTAAAAGCCGGCTTCTGAGATTCCAGCAGGAGATTGGCTTAAATCATAGCAATGAAGGCTACTTATAGGACAGATCTGGTTAGCAGGCCACAGACTGACGAAGTCTTCCGGATGGAAGACGAAATGTTTCTCCCTTAAAGAAAATGGTCCCGATGATCTAACCGTTTTTGTGTCATCTACCTGGATGATTGAGCCTACAAATCTTTTTTTTGTTTTTGTTGGAGCAGTTATTAGAAAATGGAAGAAGCTAAACATGACTGTCAATCTCCCTCGGACTGAGGCTCCATGCAAGATCTCACCTCATGGTGCATCAATGATCCTAAGAAAGGTGAGGAATCAGCCCAGAACTACACGGGAGGAACTGGTCAGACCTGGCACCACAGTTTCCATGGTTACTGTGGGTAATACACTAAGACGTCATAGTTTAAAATCGTGCATGGTACGGAAGGTTCCCCTGCTTAAATCAGCACATGTCCAGGCCTGTCTTAAGTTTGTCCATGACCATTTGGATGATCCAGAGGAGTCATGGGAGAAAGTTCTGTGGTCACATGAGACCAAAATAGAACTTTTTGGTCTTAATTCCACTCGTCGTGTTTGGAAGACGAAGAATGATGAGTACCATCCCAGAAACACCATCCCTACTGTGAAGCATGGGGGTGGAAGCATCATGCTTTGGGGGTGTTTTTCTGCACATGGGAAAGGACGACTGCACTGTATTAAGGAGAGGATGACCGGGGCCATGTATTGCGAGATTTTGGGGCACACCCTCCTTCCCTCAGTTAGAACATTGAAGATGGGTCATGGCTGGGTCTTCCAACATGACAATGACCCGAAGCACACAGTCAGGAGAACCAAGGAGTGGCTCTGTAAGAAGCATATCAAGGTTCTGGAGTGGCCTAGCCAGTCTCTAAACCTAAACCCTGTAGAAAATCTTTGGAGGGAGCTCAAACTCTGTGTTTCTCAGCGACGGCCCAGGTTTGGCTGATCTAGAGAAGATGTGTGTGTGTGGAGGAATGGGCCAAAATCTCTGCTGCAGTGTGTGCACACCTGGAGAAAAACTACAGGAAACGTTTGACCTCTGTAACTGCAAACAAAGATACTGTACCAAATATTAACATTGATTTTCACAGTTGTTCAAATACTTATTTGAAGCAGTAACACACAAATTATTTAAAAAAAAATCATACATTGTGATTTCCGGATTTATTTATTTTTTTAGAATATGTCTCTCACAGCGGACATGCACCTAAGATGAAAATTTCTGACCCCTCCATGATTTTGAAGTGGAAGAACTTGCAAAGTTGCAGGGTGTTCAAATACTTATTTTCCTCACGGTGTATATAAATAAAGGTGTTTTAAACCCTTCCCACACTTGCAATATTCTAAACAATGTTTCTAAACTCTAAATGCTCTAAAAAAGCACAGAATGTCATGATTTCCATCTCTCTGCCTTTGCTGATCTCAGCCACTTGCAAGTGTTCTAGGCCACGCCCACTTTTCCACACTGCAAGGAGAACAGCTGATCAGCTGTTCAGCTGCAGGAGGAAGCTTATCCTGCAGTATGGGCTGCACAAATGTACAGCAGGTGCCAAATAATTTAAAATAATTTATTTTAAATAAAAATTCCATGCTGATCGTGCAGCTTATCCATCAGCCGATTGTGTGTCATGTCCAGTCTTACTTTGAAAAACTGCGATACAGCGAGTCCGCAATAAACAAACCGTGAAGTAGCGAGGGATTACTGTATATTTTTTATTACTAAAGTAAAAACACAGGTGTAATTTTTAACTTCAATTGTTGAGATGCCCTCTAAATGTTATTAGATGCACCAGAGAAGCCAGAATGTCCTTTAAATTAGAGGCCTGTAAGCTGCAGTTAAATAAACAAATAAAACATTTATTGTCTATGATGTCTTCATTCATCTGACATAAGTGAATGGAGTCTTAACAACCAGATCAATATAAAGTGCACTTACTTTACTATCACTGCTTTGAGTGACTATCCACAAGATGTCTCACCTTTCATTCAAAATGACAAAAAGCGTAACACTTGGACTTTTGTAGTTTTGTTTAAAAAACATAAGACTAACCATTTTTGATGCACATTTAGTTGCGACATAATTCATTATACGTCTACCAGTAAAATGTCAGCAGACAGAAACAGTCTGGAGTCTCTGTGTGGGCATCTTTACACTTTGCAACATGCTACAGGAGGAAACTGATTTTGCTCAAGCTTTTTGTCCATTTTTATTAAATAGGATTACTGTAACTCGTTTGTTTCCAAGCCGATTGAGAAAATATTTTTCAAGAAATAAAACAAAACAAAAAAGAAGTTTTAGTTCAAAGGATACGTTTTTTTGTCCCTGACTGACCAAACACAGAGTTTGAGGTCATTGTCCTATTCAGTGCAAGTTGAACCTTCAGGTTAAGTTAAACTCTCTGAACAGGAGTGGAATTAAGCAAAGTGGATGACAATTTTCCTTTCCATAAAAAATATCTGGAATATATTATCAGTAAACAAATGATAAATGAGAGTTATTCTTGCATCATTTAAGCAAGAGTATTTACATGCTGGGGGTTGGAGGGAGTTTGTTAATCTGGGCAAGGATAGGGCTCTGAAGAAAAAAATGTTTGTAATCACTGATATAGCTGGTAATAAATCAATCTCTACTTTGAACTTATAAATGCTAGACTATAACGAGATAACGTAAGGGTTCAAAGAGCACACTTTCACATTTCAAAAGGATTTACAAAACAAAACATGCTAGCTGTTGGTAGCTGTACGTACCTGCCAAAATTTTGTTTTCTCATGTGGTTCCAAGCAGCTCGAGTCACCATAAAAGAGCCTCTCAGGTGAATTCTATGGATGAGGTCTGAAATTACAATATTAAACTGTTGTTACTGCATGCATAGACACAGATGTGTTTGTTGGTACCATTACAGCTGATTGAAACAATGTTTCTGGGGATAAGCGATTCAGTTAAAAGGTTGTGTTCAACACACTGAACATGGAGCAAAGAAAGCAAAAGGTGAGAGCTGTCCAAGGTGCTCAGAAAGAAGATTATAGATCTTCATGTTAAAAGGTAAAGGTTAAAAGACTATCTTCATATCCCTGTGAGCACAGCTGCCATTATTAATAAAAATACTATAGGGTTCATGGGGCTTTAAACAGCTTTCCAGAAAGTGGACACAAGAGGAAAAGCACCCCTGGGTTGATCAGACAGAGTGCGGATGGTAGAAAAGGGCCCCGTTTACACCATGCTGTTCGACCATTCGTGCACACTACAACAGTCCTCATTCTCTCTGGAACTGAAGATTTCTGAATCCAGGTCTCAGAGAGGCTATTTATGGGAAACCCCCCCCCCATAGAGATGTGAAATGCTCCACGGGCAAAATTGAACATGTGCACTACAGGCTGTTGCAGTAAAAAGTTTTTCTGCACTGACAACAGTTACAAGAAATGGCAGAGAACAACGTGACTTTTGTGCTACTCACCCTATTTCAGCATTTAGAAGCAAACCAACAACATCCTAGGTCCAAAGAACATTCCTGTATTCACCAGCTTACATGTAACTGTGTACATGTCAACACTGCATGTGCAATGCATGTAGCTGAGCCACACATCAGGGATGCCAGATTTTATTTTTTTATTTTTTTAACTCCCTCCTTTTCTGTGCACATGTTCACCAAACAACATACATCGCATCTTACAACACTTTCATTCAGCACACGAGTCTGGGTCTAAATACAATAATTTTAAAGTGACAGTACAATAGTTGGTCATTTCTTATCTGGCATGGAAACTACAGTGAATCCCTGTAAACAAGCACTTTTTTTATGTATTCGTCCCAACAACCATTGAAAAAAAAACACTAATGCTTCTAGAAGTCATTTTCAAGTAAACAAGACCAAAGAGCCAAGAACACCATCCATAACTATTAAAATTAAACTTCAAGGTCAAGGTTTGTCACTTTTTAATCGCACCATCAGTCACATTTTAAATCACAATGAGCTCAAAGGAAGAAGACTCAAGTGGATACCACTATTGGCTGGAAAAAAAAAAGTGAGATTTGCCAATTTGCATGTTTTGGGATGTTTTGCATGATGAATTTGCCAAAATGCACCAGGGTTTCTGGGACTGATGGTACAAAACTGGAAGTGATGGGTGGTCACATCAGTTGTGTTTCTTTTATTGTTATTGTTGAAGGGTACTGACAAACATACCCATGTCTGGACATTAAATACAAACCATTAAGTAAAATAAAATAAAAACATTTATTTTTACTTATGTCTATAGTTAGTAATATGATTAAACAAATAATGATCGTGTTAGACTGACCCATAAGTAACAAGTTCATGGGAGAAAAGTGCAGATAAAAAGATTTATTCACCCCAGTCCAAATCGCTGGTTCTGGGAAATGATCGGTCTCGAAGTATCCTGGACAAAAATAAAGAAAGAGTTTTAGACCTTTTTTTTTTGTCCGCGAGGTCAAAATTAAGGTCATTCTTGTCACAATCGTAGTGACTCACACTCGAGGATGTTAACTCTAAAAAGCAGATGTCTTTCATTAACAAAAAAAATTAAATAGGTGCTGTGAAATAACTTACCCAGCATTGTTTACAACAATATCTAAAAAAAAAAAAAGAAATAGCCAGAGTTAATTGATTCTAGTAAAATTATCACATTAAAAACAATTGAAGACTACAGACTTCTAATTCAATAATGGTACACACCAATTCTTCCGAATGTATCCAGTGCTGTTTGGATCAGCTTTTCTCCATCTTCTACAGAATCTGTGTGTGCAAACGAATGAAGCAAAAACTCACTGTATTAAAGACTGTCTATATTCAGAGAACTGTCGAACCTCATCTAACAATATGTAGAAAAATCTACCAGTGAGGGAGAGAAGAGCAACTTGTACACACATACAACAAAAACCTTACAGCCTATTCAAATTTTGTGTGAGTTACAGTGAGGGATTAAACATTTTTACTAACTGCTTTCAAATGTTTGCTGCGAAGTGGGTTAAAAAATAAAGTGACAATTTCAAATTTACAAATGAATCTCACCAAACCAAGGCCTTCCTTGCTTTGTTTTTTTTAAATAAGATGCCTTTTTCTATGTATATGAGAAACACAAAAATGAAGAAACAGCTAGAAGGTTCATTTTTCTTCAACACTCACTAACAGATTCATCAGTGAGAAAGGCGAACTAAAAAAAAAATCAATACTGTTTTTCAGTCTGTGAGATAAACTAGTTGAAAAAGAATGGAAAAAAAAAAACAATAATAGACAAAAGTCTAAATATCTCACCATAGTTTGCCACAGCTTTGCCTCCCTTTGCCCTTATCTCCTGCACCACCTTATCAGCAGCTGCAGAACTCCTTCCACCTCCTGCTGTATCTACCCCGAGGTCATTCACTTTATAGCAAAAAGATGACAATGATAAGCAACATGGGATAAATGGTGCAATTCTCAGATTACTCTAAAAGAAAATTGAAGCAATGCTGGTATCTGATACAAATTAAGAGACACACAGTCTAAGCAGTACTAGCCAACTGGCACATGAGGTATAAGAGACAATCACTGCTTTTGCTGTTGCGGTCAATGCAAAATACACACGATTGTATTTTGAAGTATAATTTATTTCTAACATACCTGCATACCAAAATTAGATAAATTCAGTATGCGAGACAAAACATTGGGTTTTTCAAGCTTAGTTAACACAAATTCAGAAACTTCTGTCAGCATGTCTAGTGTGACTTAATACAATGTTGAGAAAAGAAAAAACTTTATAATAGGTAATAAAGGCATCTCTTTATTGGCTCAGTGGTTAGCACTGTTGCCTCACAGCAAGAAGGTCCTGGGTTCAATCCCCGGTTGAACCTGGGGTCTTTCTGTGTGGAGTTTGCATGTTCTTCTCGGGCTTGCGCGGGTTTTCTCCGGGTACTCCGGTTTCCTCCCACAGAACAAAAACATGCATGTTAGGCTGCCTTCAGGCCCAGGCCTCCCTTGTCAAAGAGATCTGTGATCTCAGTGGGATTTGTCTGGTTAAATAAAAGTTAATAAATCCCAGAGTAAATCAACACAAGACATCTTTGGCCAATCAATCCTTGGTTTATCAATGTATCCTGCAAAAAATAAATAGCTTTCATATCACACACGATTATCACTTATGATGCTTTTGTGAACAGGCATAAATAATCTCGAACTATGGTTAAAAAATCTGAATATTAAAATGGCAAAAGTCTAAATAAATGTTGAAACATGAAAATAGAATTTGAGTAAGATTTTCCACCATGGCATAAGACTAAATATTGATTAGAACTGTGTACACCTTACTTTTAAGCAACAAACTATAGTTTATGTTTTATTTATGCTTTTTATTATTATAATTTACCAACTACAGAGGCTCCTCTTGAAGCAAAAGCCAGTGCATAATCTCTGCCAAGACCTGTTGAACAAACGAGAAAAAAAGTGAATAAAGTAAAAACATTTGTTTTTTGTATTTCAATTAAAAACTGCAGCCCTGTAGTGTTTTTGAGTATGACCTTTCACACACTTCCAGCAGAGACTATGTACTTTGCTCCCTGTGCTTTTCAAAATAAAATAAACATCTTATACTAGCAAACCACCTGATAGTCCCTACAAGGGTTCTCTGCTGATGTTTAGTCTTGCAGACCTGTCGTCAGATATAGCAATCGGCAACATTTCTAAATTATCCAACAGGACTATGGTAGGTCATAGAGGGAAAGATAGATCGGTGTAATAACTAAATATCTTAGCGACGTTAGCATCTGAAGCTAACGTTACGTTTGCCTTTTGAATTGACAGGACAGCAAACTACTGTTACCTCCTCCAGCGCCAGTGACGAGCACAACTCTTCCCTCGAACGACAAAGACATTTCTGTTAGATGCTATTTCTTTGTTTCAGATCAACACTGACACAACGACAACACAACTGACAGCAGACCGAGGGCGAACTCCTACAAGTTTTATTTCCGCATTGTGAAGGGGGACCGTCTTCGCGGTGACCAATCAGAGAACGGGATTTTGTGACGCTCCTCCCAGCGCTTAACATGCAGTGAGCACTTTGAGCCAAACTCAGGTTTTCAAGATTGTAAATTAGTCAGTGCGTGCCAAATCCACGAGTCTTATCTTGACATTGCCGTAGCTGCTATTTTAGCTGTTAATAGTAAGCAAGATCTCCATTATTTTGCAAGGAAATAACCAAAATCAGTCATCGGGGTCTTTAGTTATAAGATATTAGGTCTGCAACCTTTACAATCAAAAACCTATGAAAGCCTACAAACAAAACAAAACAGGGGATGGAGCAACTTATTGTTGAGTTTTACATAAATGCTTCATATGAAAACAACATTGTTTCAGTTAATTAACATTTAAAGGTAATGTCTTAGCACAGCTCTCCTGACGTTTAATATCTGAACCAAGCTGAGTCTGGCCTTTATATCACTGGCACATCTTGAGTTTATACACACACACACACACACACACACACACACACACACACACACACACACACACACACACACACACACACACACATA